AGCTGAGCGTGTGGAGGGCATGGTCTCTGTGGAGGGTGTGGTCTCTGTGGAGCTGAGCGTGTGGGGGGCGTGGTCTCTGTGGAGGGCGTGGTCTCTGTGGAGCTGAGCGTGTGGAGGGCGTGGTCTCTGTGGAGGGCGTGGTCTCTGTGGAGCTGAGCGTGTGGAGGGCGTGGTCTCTGTGGAGCTGAGCGTGTGGGGGGCGTGGTCTCTGTGGAGGGCATGGTCTCTGTGGAGCTGAGCGTGTGGGGGGCGTGGTCTCTGTGGAGCTGAGCGTGTGGGGGGCGTGGTCTCTGTGGAGGGCGTGGTCTCTGTGGAGCTGAGCGTGTGGAGGGCGTGGTCTCTGTGGAGCTGAGCGTGTGGGGGCGTGGTCTCTGTGGAGGGCGTGGTCTCTGTGGAGCTGAGCGTGTGGAGGGGCGTGGTCTCTGTGGAGCTGAGCGTGTGGGGGGCGTGGTCTCTGTGGAGGGCGTGGTCTCTGTGGAGCTGAGCGTGTGGAGGGCGTGGTCTCTGTGGAGGGCGTGGTCTCTGTGGAGCTGAGCGTGTGGGGGGCGTGGTCTCTGTGGAGCTGAGCGTGTGGGGGGCGTGGTCTCTGTGGGGCTGAGCGTGTGGGGGGCGTGGTCTCTGTGGAGGGCGTGGTCTCTGTGGAGCTGAGCGTGTGGGGGGCGTGGTCTCTGTGGAGCTGAGCGTGTGGGGGGCGTGGTCTCTGTGGAGCTGAGCGTGTGGGGGGCGTGGTCTCTGTGGGGCTGAGCGTGTGGGGGGCGTGGTCTCTGTGGGGCTGAGCGTGTGGGGGGCGTGGTCTCTGTGGAGCTGAGCGTGTGGGGGGCGTGGTCTCTGTGGAGCTGAGCGTGTGGGGGGCGTGGTCTCTGTGGGGCTGAGCGTGTGGGGGGCGTGGTCTCTGTGGGGCTGAGCGTGTGGGGGGCGTGGTCTCTGTGGAGCTGAGCGTGTGGGGGGCGTGGTCTCTGTGGAGCTGAGCGCGTGCTCCTGAGCTCGGCACAAAGCGGGTCTTTCACTTTGGACCCACATCTAGAAGTATTTATCCCAGTTCAGAACGGACTGATGCTGTTCGCCGCAGACTCAGGTTCAGTCAGAAATGAGCCTAAAAGAGTCCATTGGGACGTCTTCATCAGTCTTCATCCTCCTTTTACTGTTTCATTAACTCTGTAAAAAAAGTATAAATAATTAAAGTTTAAGTTGTATGTTTGTACTCAGGGTTTATTTATAATATTTAGGTCTCTGTGAATCTCTGTCGTGTATTTTTCCATCTTTGTCAGTAACTTTTCTCATCACATCTGATTTGTACTGAATTATTTTGTTGTCTCAATGTTTAATTTCCATGAGATATAATGTAATGCCTGCTCTTTGGGGCAGGGACCATGTGTCATCTCGGACCAACGTAGATACTGAAGGTTTGACATCTTTAAACATATTTTATCTTAGCAGCGAGTCCAGGTCTGGTCCAGACCAGAGCAGAGAGGATTCATGGTTTTACACTGGTCCAGACCAGAGCAGAGAGGATTCATGGTTTTACACTGGTCCAGACCAGAGCAGAGAGGATTCATGGTTTTACACTGGTCCAGACCAGAGCAGAGAGGATTCATGGTTTTACACTGGTCCAGACCAGAGCAGAGAGGACTCATGGTTTTATTCTGGTCCAGACCAGAGCAGAGAGGATTCATGGTTTTATTCTGGTCCAGACCAGAGCAGAGAGGATTCATGGTTTTATTCTGGTCCAGACCAGAGCAGAGAGGATTCATGGTTTTACACTGGTCCAGACCAGAGCAGAGAGGATTCATGGTTTTATTCTGGTCCAGACCAGAGCAGAGAGGATTCATGGTTTTACACTGGTCCAGACCAGAGCAGAGAGGATTCATGGTTTTACACTGGTCCAGACCAGAGCAGAGAGGATTCATGGTTTTACACTGGTCCAGACCAGAGCAGAGAGGATTCATGGTTTGACACTGGTCCAGACCAGAGCAGAGAGGATTCATGGTTTTACACTGGTCCAGACCAGAGCAGAGAGGATTCATGGTTTTATTCTGGTCCAGAGCAGAGAGGATGGTCTGAAGCTCCACCTGCTGCTGTGACCTGAACGACTGATGTTACTATTGTTAGATACTTTTGGATTTATTTGCTTTGTTTTGTTTGTTTGGATGTGTTTCTGCTGCTGCTGGACTCCTGCGTTTTTCCAACAGGATCAATAAACAATCTGTTTTTCTAAATCCATTAAAACATCCAATCCGTAGTTTCTGATTGTGTCGCACTGAGGCCAAAAGGACAAAAACAAATGTTGCATTTTTGCATCGACCCTGCAACACCAGAGGCCTCTGGCAGTGTTATTGTAAGACACACACAGCCCCCCACATACACTGGACACATATACACACTCACACACTCACACACTGGACACACACACACACGCTGGACACACACATATACACACTGGACACACACACGCTCACACTGGACACACACACACACATATACACACTGGACACACACATATATATACACACACACACTGGACACACACACACACACACATATACACACTGGACACACACATATATATATACACACACACTGGACACACACACACACTCTCACACACTGGACACACACACACACACACACAGAGGACGGGGGTCTTCCCTCTGCCCTCTTCTGTTTGTGTTCTTGGTTGTGGGAAAGTCTGTCCAGTCCGTGAGAGTCCTCTGCTCTGGCCTCTGTCCCTCGGGGGCCTCCGTACTCTGAGCCCTAAACCAGTGGCTCATTCTCCCAGAACATTACTACACACAAACACACTCACACACACACACACACACACACACACACACACACACTACACTGTTACATAGATTGAAATGCCTTTGTCACTGTTCTATTTGAGGAATCCTGGATGTTGATGCTTTAGATAAGGTTCAGTTTGACCACAATGTGCTTTAAAGATAACACTGTGGGTTTTACAGCAGTATTGTGCATTACTGTACGTTCTGTGTTTAAACATTGCTTTAATGCAGTGTTATGTGATGACGCAGCCTGTTTACATTTAGCGTCAGAATGTTGCGGTGAAAAAGACCTCACTTCCTGCTTTACTGTCTCTGTGTTTAGTTCTATGGATTTATCTGCATTTCATACGTATCTGAAGTGAGGAGAGTATTTTATGAATTACTGATGGCCTCTAGAAATAGACAAAATAACTGATTGAATTTGACGCACAGATGGAACTTAAACAACTAGAATATTGCTCAAAAGTTTTGTAATTCAACGTACAATCTGAAATCTGAAGGGGCGACAGGGGCTCAGTTGGTAGAGCAATGGTCATGGGTTCGATTCCACCACTACCCATATCATCTGCTCCCTCTGCTGTCGTTGTGTCCCTGGGCAAGACACTTAACCCCACTTTGCCTGAAGCCCCCGCTGAAAGACCAAGGCTGTATCTGTGTTGAAGAAGCAGCCATCTTTGTGTGAACCCCCCCCTGAAGAGGATCAGAAGGACTGGTGCTTTGTGAATTGGGGGCAGCTCTGATTGTCACCCCCCGACCCAGAAATGGACTAATAAAGAAATGAATGAATCTGAATCCTTACATGTGAAGTGAGCTATATCAAGCCCTTATTTGTTTTATTGTTTATAATTTTAAACCCCCCCAATAATAAAATGGACTGTAAGCCAAAATGATAAATAAGCCTTGGCATTGGTCACTTTGTATTTTGGTTTCACATTTTGAAGTAGAATTAGAGAAATGAATGAACTTTTGAAAGATATTCTAATTGTTATAGTTCCACCTGTGGACGGTAAAATGGTCAAATTGAGTAGACTAGTTCTGAATTACACCGGTCTTATTCAGATGTAGGCTTGTGGCGTTTGCTTTTCACTGCAAAACAACCTTTTGTCACGGCCTGAGTATAATTTGTCGGCTTGTTCGTGCGTTTTATCCTTTCCTAAATCCCTCAAATGGAAACATAGTGTGTTTATTGACGTGGGCGGTGGTTCTCCGCGAGCTTCAGAACATGAGTGAGCTGCGATCATGTTTTCCGCTCTGAGATAAACGGTCTGCGTCCCGTCCACCTGCAGAGTCTGGACCTGCTCCGACCGTTTGACCAGAGACAGAGAAACGACTTCAGACGTTAGTATCAGATAAAGCTCCCTGACGGCCGCGGCTCGGAGCCGAAGTATTTTATAAGCTCAACATAATCATAACTCACGCTCAACATTTGGAAACTATATTTGGCGTCGCTGTTTCTGCTCTTTCCGTCTCTGTAACGGCTCAATACAGCAGCTCAATGGGAACAAGCTTGTCTTTGACTTGGCCCGGAATAAAATATACTTCTACTTTAAGATTCTCAATTCATTAATGTTGTTTTCTCATGTTATCGAGGCCAACGTTAGCCTGGCCTTAGCTAACCGTACACTGCGGTCATTATCATTTCCTGCATGTAACGTCTGGGTCGGAATCGGATTTCAGATAGTCATAGTACACAATCATCAATAAAAACCATCAGAAACTGCTGGTAACATGGGAGGGCCTGTCCTGAAATAGGCTGGCAGTAAGTTAAGGTTCTTTTTGGTTTTTTTTGTTTTGTTTTGTCTTTATTTGAATTGGGACAGTGCACATTCATCATGTGTTTTTTAACATGTAAATGTGCCAGAGTTAGCCATGTAGGCTAATTTTCTTCCGTATTCTGATTCACTTTGGAACACACACATTCTCTCTTTTCACTCCTCTCCAAAAACGTCTTTCTCCGAGACACAACCGCACGGTCTGAAACAACTCCAACATTGAGCTGCAGTGAAAAGGCCTCTGTCTCTGGAGGCCCCTGAGACGGGCCCTTCTTTGCCTTTCCCTCTTTAACATTCACACTGAGCTCCAGGTTTCAACACGATGTGCACTTCAGATGGACTGGAGAGAGGTGTGTGTACGCAGCCCATTTTCATTTTGTGTGTATATATATATATATATATATATATATTATTCAGTGAGGGAACCAGACAGTTTTGTGTGGTTTGAAAGTACCCCAGCTTTATTATTCATAGACATATTGCTGTCTATATTTTGAATTCCAGATAAACCAGAGGGATCTTAGATTTCCCAGACCAAAGGTTGTGGAGGAGGTCTTTCCTGTTCTCTGTGATCTCGGGGCCGGAGACTGACTCTCTGTAGATGTCAGAGGCTCTCTCCCCCTATCTTCTCCCCCTATCTTCTCTCCCTATCTTCTCCCCCTATCTTCTCCCCCTATCTTCTCCCCCTATCTTCTCTCCCTATCTTCTCTCCCTATCTTCTCTCCCCATCTTCTCTCCCTATCTTCTCTCCTCTCCCTCTCTCCTCTCTCCCTATCTTCTCTCCTCTCCCTCTCTCCCCTCCTCCACTCTTCCCTCCTCCACTCTTCCCTCCTCCTCTCCCTCTCTCCTCCCCTCCTCTCTCTCCTTCTCTCTCTCTCTCTCCTCCTCTCTCCTTCTCTCTCCTCCCCTCTCTTTCCTCCTCCCAGACTGTGGCTGTTTTTCCTCTGGTTGCTCTTGTATAAACTCAGACTATCTTCATCAGCGTTCAGGAAGTGTTCAGATAAACAAACGATGGAGCCAACGGGGAAACGACCCCAGCATGACCCACTGTAAGGAAAGGGACTGAACTATATGGATATAAGGCTTACTGTACGAAAGAAAGTTAAATAATTGTGTGTGTCTTGGGTTCAAATCTCTGTCAGAACGGGGTCTTTCTGAGTGGAGTTTGCATGTTCTCCCCGTGCTTGCGTAGGTTTCCTCTGGGTACTCCGGTTTCCCCTACCACTATAAACATGCTCACCAGGTAAAATCCTCCAGCTCTGGTCCTGACCAAGAGCATCAACATCTGGAGATGGGTTCCCGGGCGCTGTTACTACGGCGACCACTGCTCCTGACGTAAGCCTCAGTGGCTGAGAACTGAGGAGGAGTTGGCAAAAGATTATATAAATGTAAAAAGTTAATTTTATCCTATGTTCAATAGTTATAAGGTTCTTTTAATTAGACACAAAGTTGGAGTTTCGCTGCATACTGTATATTTCCCTTCTGTCTGTGCCACTTGATAATTCCACTTGTCACTAATCCAGTTTGGAAGAAATGATTATATATACTGATGAACTATAATTCATTGTTCTATGAAGGAAACGAAGATGCAGAGAAAGGAAAAGCCAAAGAATAAATTGCTGATTCATATTTTTTTATTTAAGCGTGTAATGGGACATAACACCAGGATAATGTGACCATGTCGTATGCAGCTGTAGTCGACACGGATGTAGGTCGTCCCAACGTTCTGGCATGTGCATCTTTTAGACGTTGGAGAGACCTGGCCAAGTGAAACCACCACAGTCAACAGTGTGTGGAAATATTATAAATGGTATAAAACATTCTCTGAAGAAAATAATTTAACGGCTCAGTGAACACTCAACAACTATCTTTAACCAATGACATCATCTTCAGGGGCCTTTGACTGACTTTCCTCCACAGAAACCATTTTTACTTTGTATTAGATTACATGTTGAAATACTAAGTTCAGATTAGGTTCAGATTCTGTGATATCCTCAACTCTGTTCTAGAGGAAAAGGATCAAGGACAAAATCAGTGGAAAGTCCCAAAGAGATGGAGCTGTGTCAAACATCCAGCTGCAGAAGTGACTGTTGTAATGGCTGCACATGTGTCTTTTCAAAGGTTGTTTAAGGACAGTGGCTCAGTGTGTAGAGCTGAGCCTTTGAGCCAGAAGGTCGTGGGTTCAAGACTTTCACCATCGACTCCCACTGACGTCTGCTGCCGTTGTGTTCTTGAGCAAGCCACACTTAACCTCTGGGAACAGCAGGTGCCACAGTGGGGCGGCTGTAAAGTGCCAAACTGCGGCTGTGTCCTTAGGCAAGACACTTCCCCCACATTAGAATGAGTCTGGTGTGTGTGTGAATGGTTGGTGGTGGTGGGAGGGGCCGATGGCACAGACTGGTGGCCTCTCTTCTGTCAGTGTGCCCCAGGGCAGATGTGGCTACAGTAGTTTATCACCACCGTGTTTGGAGAGAGAGAATGACATGTGAAGAGACTTTGAGAGTCCAAAAAAGCGCTGTATAAAACTGATTTATTATTATTATTAAGTGTTTCTGTGGCTTGGTTGAAAACATATGGATTGTCACAGCCGTGGTGATGGGTTCGTGTCCCGCTCCAGGAGCTAATTCAGCAGCTCAGTTATTATCCTCTCTGTTCTTCCTCATCTCTCTCTCCTTTAGTGTCACATCTCAGTGATATCAGTCTGTTCTCTTGAATGACTTATTGACAAAAATATTGTAGATTAATTTTGTAAAGTGTTTTCTTAACAACCAATTTGCATTATTATTATTATTATTATTATCTGATTTAATAGACCTTTGAGATCACTGTTCCCTGTGGAGCAGTATTTAAGAACTATCTTTCTGTTCATCAGAGCGGCTCAAACTCTCATACAAACCTATAATTCTTTCTTCTTTCTGTGATTTTGTGTCTGAACGTCAGAAAACGGACTGTTCTGACTCGCTCAAAGATAAACAGGAAGTGTTTGTTTTTCTCACGAGGGTTTGGAGATAGTTGTGGTTAAACAAACTATGGATGTTCTGAGAAAGTTATTCAAACATTACATTTATTACAGATTACTCACAAGTTACAGTTTAACCATTTATATTAGTTCAACAGAATAAGTTCAGTGTAGCTTGGGCTGAAACCCTTTGGTTCAGTTTGCTTTCTACTGATGTTAAAGAACCTAAAAGTGTCTAAACATCAGAGGAAACCTGACCGTGGTTGTGTCCAGCCCTGGGCTCAAAGATCCTCCAGGACAAAAGTTCAGACGTAAAAAGGACAAAGGTTCATGGTTCTGAGTGCACCTGCTCAGAATGCAGCAAAACTAACGTCGTCCACATGTTTTAAGGCAGTATTGTGTCTGTAAAGCCCACGCCAGGACCATGTTAGAAGCAGTGTATATGCAGGACCCCTGTAGGGCTGCTGGAAATGAACTTTGGATTCTGTCGTAAATGTGTGGTTCGATGGAAACGATAGCTCTGATTTACATGCTCCTAAAACAACAGCTTTTCCATGTGTTTTTTCTAACTCCCAAAGTCATCCGCTGTAATATCCCTAACATTAAACGGTGCAACAGGAGAACAATATAACCAGAGCCAGGGAAAGATATTAACCGTGCTTTTCCGATAAATACATCTGGGAAAAAATACATTCTCCATATTGTCCTTTCTCTGCATCGCACACCTGTCTGGACCTGTCCTGCTCCACCCAGAGGCTACTCCACCTCTGCTGCTGTGACCCGTCCTGCTCCACCCAGAGGCTACTCCACCTCTGCTGCTGTGACCCGTCCTGCTCCACCCAGAGGTTACTCCACCTCTGCTGCTGTGACCTGTCCTGCTCCACCCAGAGGCTACTCCACCTCTGCTGCTGTGACCTGTCCTGCTCCACCCAGAGGCTACTCCACCTCTGCGCCTGTTACCAGTCCTGCTCCACCCAGAGGCTACTCCACCTCTGCTGCTGTGACCCGTCCTGCTCCACCCAGAGGCTACTCCACCTCTGCTGCTGTGACCTGTCCTGCTCCACCCAGAGGCTACTCCACCTCTGCTGCTGTGACCTGTCCTGCTCCACCCAGAGGCTACTCCACCTCTGCTGCTGTGACCTGTCCTGCTCCACCCAGAGGCTACTCCACCTCTGCTGCTGTGACCTGTCCTGCTCCACCCAGAGGCTACTCCACCTCTGCTGCTGTGAACCGTCCTGCTCCACCCAGAGGCTACACCACCTCGGCTGCTGTGACCCGTCCTGCTCCACCTAGAGGCTACTCCACCTCTGCCCCTGTTACCAGTCCTGCTCCACCCAGAGGCTACTCCACCTCTGCTCCTGTTACCAGTCCTGCTCCACCCAGAGGCTACTCCACCTCTGCTGCTGTGACCTGAGGCTGTTGCTGATTATTACTATTGTTACCTTTCTTAGAATGATCCATTTGATTTTTCTATTTCTGCTGCTACTGGACACCTGCATTTCTCCGACGGGGATTAACAAAGTATCTATCTGTATCTAAAGCATCGAATCAATTGCGTCAAAGTCGTTATTGTCTTTGTCACATCATGAACAAACTCACTTTGTCTGTGTAGCTGTATCTATTGTGGCTTTTCCTCGGTGGTGATTTACGGCTCAAAGGCAAATAGACTGAGGTCAAATATGCAGCGTTGTGTTGTTGTTGTCGAGAGGCCAGGCTTTGTGCAGTTTATTTCAGTAAAGAAAGGCCTTCGTGCTGTCACAACCAATATTCTGACCAACAAAACAAACATAAGGAAAGGCTGTGGTTGGTTGAACCTGACCCCGGATCAGCCGAGACGCTGCAGCACAGAGAGAGAGACGAGAGAGACGAGAGAGACGAGAGAGACGAGAGAGAGACGAGAGAGAGACGAGAGAGAGAGAGACGAGAGAGAGACGAGAGAGAGACGAGAGAGAGAGAGACGAGAGAGAGAGAGACGAGAGAGAGAGAGACGAGAGAGAGAGAGACGAGAGACGAGAGAGAGAGAGACGAGAGAGACGAGAGAGAGAGAGACGAGAGAGACGAGAGAGAGAGAGAGAGAGAGACGAGAGAGACCCCCCCCTCGGATGAATAATAATAATCTGACAGACTGTGTTTTTCAGTTAACTAAGATATTTTTGTACAGTGCAGCGTCTTCAGTGTTAGTCCTTTTACTACAATCAGTTTAGTTTGGACCAGTGTGTCCCAAAGTGGGGTTCGAGGGCACTGCAGGGGGCCGCGAGAGGTCATAAAAAATTTAAATTGTTTTATATAATTATTGAATGTTAAATTAATAATATTTTGTTTGTAAAAAAAATATTCATGTTCATTATTTGACTTAAATAATCCAATTGTAATCATGTTTGTATTCGTCATTTACATGTTTGTAGCAGAGGCTGTTTTTCCCGTCAGATATTTAAGTGTTAATGACTTTGGGAATGGTTGATTAAGAGCATCTCTGCTTCTTTTTGGTCTTAGCTCATATTCATGCAGCATATTTATAGAACTATGTAATTCTCTATAAACTTACACTGTAAAACTAAAATTCAATGATACGTCTTTAATCATTACATTTTTTAGTTTCTTGTGGTTGTTGTTATTACTCTAGAAACCCTACTCTAATTGGTCTTGGATGTTATTCTGTGCTCTCGGTGTATGTTTGAGGTTGTGAGTCCGCGGTCATTTCCCGACACACACAGTGACAAAAGAGAGTTGCTTCACTTCTAATTTTTTGTTAAGTCCAGGAGAGTTTAATAAAAAAAACGTTTTATGGTTTTAGGCTTTAACAAAATCAAACTATGGTACATTTTCTAAAACCTTTTTAAAAACTATTTGACTGCTTTGGCTCCTGGTCATATTCTGCAGTGTATTCAGTGGTTACACAAAAATAAGACAGACTTTTTACACAAATGCAAACATGTCCTGTATTTATAACTTAGCTGTAAAGCAGTCCAATGTTTAAACACAAACACTACAGAAGCCACTCAGAAAAGCTAAGACAAATGTATTATTATTATTATGCTAATCTGACGCCAAGTGCTGGAGGTTCATGTGGTCTCTGGTGGTCTCTGTGGTCTCTGTCGTGTCTGTGGTCTCTGTGGTCTCTGCCGTGTCTGTGGTCTCTGTGGTCTCTGTCGTCTCTGTGGTCTCTGCCGTGTCTGTGGTCTCTGTGGACTCTGTGGTCTCTGTAGTCTCTGTAGTCTCTGTAGTCTCTGTGGTCTCTGTGGTCTCTGTGGTCTCTGTCGTCTCTGTCGTCTCTGTCGTCTCTCTGGTCTCTGTCGTCTCTGCCGTGTCTGTGGTCTCTGTCGTCTCTGTCGTCTCTGTGGTCTCTGGTCTCTGTGGTCTCTGTGGTCTCTGTAGTCTCTGTAGTCTCTGGTCTCTGTAGTCTCTGTCGTCTCTGTGGTCTCTGTGGACTCTGTCGTCTCTGTCGTCTCTGTGGTCTCTGTCGTCTCTGTCGTCTCTGTGGTCTCTGTGGTCTCTGTGGTCTCTGTGGTCTCTGTGGTCTCTGTAGTCTCTGTCGTCTCTGTGGTCTCTGTGGACTCTGTCGTCTCTGTCGTCTCTGTGGTCTCTGTAGTCTCTGTAGTCTCTGTGGTCTCTGTGGTCTCTGTGGTCTCTGTGGTCTCTGCCGTGTCTGTTGTCTCTGTGGTCTCTGTCGTCTCTGTCGTCTCTGTGGTCTCTGTGGTCTCTGTGGTCTCTGTGGACTCTGTGGTCTCTGTAGTCTCTGTAGTCTCTGTAGTCTCTGTAGTCTCTGTGGTCTCTGTGGTCTCTGTAGTCTCTGGTCTCTGTAGTCTCTGTCGTCTCTGTGGTCTCTGTGGACTCTGTCGTCTCTGTAGTCTCTGTCGTCTCTGTGGTCTCTGTAGTCTCTGTAGTCTCTGTGGTCTCTGTGGTCTCTGTGGTCTCTGTGGTCTCTGCCGTGTCTGTTGTCTCTGTGGTCTCTGTGGTCTCTGTCGTCTCTGTGGTCTCTGTCGTCTCTGTCGTCTCTGTCGTCTCTGTCGTCTCTGTGGTCTCTGTGGTCTCTGTGGTCTCTGTCGTCTCTGTGGTCTCTGTGGTCTCTGTTCTCTGTGGTCTCTGTAGTCTCTGTAGTCTCTGTCGTCTCTGTGGTCTCTGTGGTCTCTGTGGTCTCTGTTCTCTGTGGTCTCTGTCGTCTCTGTCGTCTCTGTGGTCTCTGTGGTCTCTGTGGTCTCTGTCGTCTCTGTGGTCTCTATTCTCTGTGGTCTCTGTGGTCTCTGTTCTCTGTGGTCTCTGTGGTCTCTGTCGTCTCTGTGGTCTCTGTCGTCTCTGTGGTCTCTGTGGTCTCTGTGGTCTCTATTCTCTGTGGTCTCTGTGGTCTCTGTAGTCTCTGTGGTCTCTGTGGTTTCTGTGGTCTCTCATTTACCACCGACTGGGACATCTGCAGGATTCTCTGGAGAAACATGAGAAATGGTGAATGTCTCTCGCTTCACTTCAGACTCATTAAACTGTGTGGGACACAGTTGGATTTATTAATGTATCAGTAACTCATCAGAAAGATATGATCATAAAGATGTAGCTATAACCTGGTTCAGTGCATCCTCATCCCTTTGAGGTGAATGTTTACTGTACACTGTCCCTGTCATCTTAGATACAGAAACTAAAGTCTTTCACTTGGCTTGAATCGTCTCGACTCGCTTCAGTACTTTCATTTAAACATGTCTTTGCAATGACCACAGATGTGACAAACTATAGCTTATTTTTGTATTTGCAAATTCATCACTGGAGAAATGAATTCTTACTGTTTACATGTTGTGTTCAGCTCCATGTTAAACTTTCTGACTTTCTGATAAATGGCATGGGTGGGCCTGGGTGATCATGGGTGGGCCTGGGTGGGCATCCACAGTATTGGCAGTGACCAGACAGGAAATGGTGTTTTCCTTTTGGGTGCACAATTTAACCGAGGCGTTGTATTGGGCGGGGCTGACGTTGGGAGTCATGGAGTTTAAGTATTGTCCGTCATGAGTCACATCCTTCAGCAGCAAACACCTTCCATTCACATCGTTACTGTGCACAGGTCTGCAGGGAGACTGTGGACAGGTCTGCAGGGAGACTGTGGACAGGTCTGCAGGGAGACTGTGGACAGGTCTGCAGGGAGACTGTGGACAGGTCTGCAGGGAGACTGTGGACAGGTCTGCAGGGAGACTGTGGACAGGTCTGCAGGGAGGCTGTGGACAGGTCTGCAGGGAGGCTGTGGACAGGTCTGCAGGGAGGCTGTGGACAGGTCTGCAGGGAGGCTGTGGACAGGTCTGCAGGGAGGCTGTGGACAGGTCTGCAGGGAGACTGTGGACAGGTCTGCAGGGAGGCTGTGGACAGGTCTGCAGGGAGACTGTGGACAGGTCTGCAGGGAGACTGTGGACAGGTCTGCAGGGAGACTGTGGACAGGTCTGCAGGGAGACTGTGGACAGGTCTGCAGGGAGACTGTGGACAGGTCTGCAGGGAGGCTGTGGACAGGTCTGCAGGGAGGCTGTGGACAGGTCTGCAGGGAGACTGTGGACAGGTCTGCAGGGAGACTGTGGACAGGTCTGCAGGGAGACTGTGGACAGGTCTGCAGGGAGACTGTGGACAGGTCTGCAGGGAGACTGTGGACAGGTCTGCAGGGAGGCTGTGGACAGGTCTGCAGGGAGGCTGTGGACAGGTCTGCAGGGAGGCTGTGGACAGGTCTGCAGGGAGGCTGTGGACAGGTCTGCAGGGAGACTGTGGACAGGTCTGCAGGGAGGCTGTGGACAGGTCTGCAGGGAGACTGTGGACAGGTCTGCAGGGAGACTGTGGACAGGTCTGCAGGGAGGCTGTGGACAGGTCTGCAGGGAGGCTGTGGACAGGTCTGCAGGGAGGCTGTGGACAGGTCTGCAGGGAGGCTGTGGACAGGTCTGCAGGGAGGCTGTGGACAGGTCTGCAGGGAGACTGTGGACAGGTCTGCAGGGAGACTGTGGACAGGTCTGCAGGGAGACTGTGGACAGGTCTGCAGGGAGGCTGTGGACAGGTCTGCAGGGAGACTGTGGACAGGTCTGCAGGGAGGCTGTGGACAGGTCTGCAGGGAGACTGTGGACAGGTCTGCAGGGAGGCTGTGGACAGGTCTGCAGGGAGACTGTGGACAGGTCTGCAGGGAGACTGTGGACAGGTCTGCAGGGAGGCTGTGGACAGGTCTGCAGAGTGCAGGGAGGCTGTGGAGGCTGTCAGGAGCTCAGACTGAGAGCCACAGTGAGAGTCTGTAAAAGCAGAGAGAAAGAGTGAGGGAGGGAGTGAGTGAGTGAGTGAGAGAGAGAGGGGAGAAAGAGGGAGGGAGGGCGAGAGAGAGGGGGAGAGGGAAATGGTGTGAGAGAGAGAGAGAGAGGGATATAGCGGGAGGGAGAGGGTGAAAGAAAGGGAGAGAGAGAGAGTGAGGAGGATGTCATCAGCTCAGTCAGCTGAAACCCACAGCTCGACTCGCAGCTGATGGGAAACTCCTTCTCAGCGATGTCTGTGGATTCTTTACACACTTTTAAAGATGACGAATTGGATTTGATTCCCACAAAGTGACGCAGATCTGTGTGGGTCGTCGTACGGAGAGCCCCGAGAGTCAGGGGTGAGTTAGTCCAAACCAGTAGAACAGATCCTCCTCCTCTGAGACTGTGTGGATGTAACAGGATTAGTTTCAACACTGGTCGGTAACGAGAAATGTGTCGTACTGTTCATGGTTGTGTTATGTCGACTGCACCGACAGCAAAGAATCTGTTTTCAGTTTGCTGGAGACTCGGTGAAATGGCAAACTGAAGAAAGCATTGCTGATCTCACTTTGGCACAGATAGAATCACTCTGAACGTGCAAAAAGACAGAAGTGTGCAAACGTATAACAGGCAAAAATACAGTCTGTTCTAGAGTTAGAGGTTTGGTTTTATTTTGATTTGTACGGAGCTATTGTTCACTTAACATGTGCTGTGTGCTCCTCTTTCCTACTGTTCTATAACCTGTGATGCAACACTGACATTTCCCCACTTTGGACGAATAAAGGATCTCTTAAACTTATATTATGTACAATAAAAAGTGGCAATAGGAGCAAGTTTTCCTAGTGCAGTCCTAGTTATTCTGTTAATTTTAATCTTTGAGATACGATCTTTTATTCATCCCACAGTGGGGAAATGTCAATGTTGCAGCGCACAGACAGGACAGTAGCAAGAGCACACAGGGAGCACACAAAAATATATACAAAATTAGTAGTATCTATGTTTCTTAAATCGCTGTCAATGCTGTAAATTCTTCAGCACCAGCAAAAAAACAGATGACACCAAGTTTTTTCTGCATTTATGTAATCCTGCCTTTTCTAAATCTTGTGAAGGAGGGATTACGGCCCCAAAGCCCTGTTGATGCACATGTGAGAGGTCTGAGGTCGTGTAAATGGCTCCTGTTCAGTCCCACAGTGCGGCTCATGTGTAAGGAATGGCCTGGCACTCAAACATTCCACTTATGCTTTACATCTCCTCCGAGCGACCGACCCATCCCAAAATGGAACAGGCTCGCACTCTTCCAGTAACCTCGCTGCTCTGCTCCTTTCTCACTTGGAAACTTTTCGACTCTGCTTCTCTCCTGCCAATACTGGTATATTTTGGATAGCATAACATTTGGAATATCGTTGTTATTGCCAGTGGAGAGTTGTCGGTCCTGGGCTGTTGTCTGGTTTACACTGGCTGCTTCTATGGACAGTGTTGCATTGCTTTCGTTCAGGATTAGGTTTCGGTGTCGGGAGAAGCCCAAAACGTGACCATTTGACTTCTTCTGCTTTGATGTTCTTTGTGCGTTGTGGAGCAGATAGTATCCATTTCCACCACACCAAAGGCTCAGGCCGAGCTCCAGTGGAAATCCTGTCTCACGTGGGTTTGAGCTAACGATTGTTATGTTGTTGATTGGAATGAATAATGAAATCAAAGAGTTCACTCATAAATGCAGCACTTATTGTTTTCATAGTATTGAGTGTCGTAGATGGACTTTCTCAGGATTGTATATTTTCAGTTAGATACTTTATTGATCCCTGTTGGAGAAATGCAGGTGTCCAGTCGCAGCAGAAACACATCCAACAAAACAGATCATTCTAAAAGTATCTAAGAATAGTAATAATAATAACAACAGTCGATCAGTCACAGCAGCAGGTGGAGTAGTCTCTGGGTGGAGCAGGTCACAGCAGCAGGTGGAGTAGTCTCTGGGTGGAGCAGGTCACAGCAGCAGGTGGAGTAGTCTCTGGGTGGAGCAGGTCACAGCAGCAGGTGGAGTAGTCTCTGGGTGGAGCAGGTCACAGCAGCAGGTGGAGTAGTCTCTGGGTGGAGCAGGTCACAGCAGCAGGTGGAGTAGTCTCTGGGTGGAGCAGGTCACAGCAGCAGGTGGAGTAGTCTCTGGGTGGAGCAGGTCACAGCAGCAGGTGGAGTAGTCTCTGGGTGGAGCAGGTCACAGCAGCAGGTGGAGTAGTCTCTGGGTGGAGCAGGTCACAGCAGCAGGTGGAGTAGTCTCTGGGTGGAGCACTAACCCTTATGGGGCGTTCAGAGGCCAGCGCTGGAACGCAGCTTCCGCACTCACCAGACGCACATTCTCAACATTTCAGACGCTCTGTGTTCAGACCAGAAGTCCTGCTGCGGTGGCGCCCGCCGGAAGTGTTTGGATGCTAACGGAGTTAAGCTAGCAGCTTTTTGTGTAAAGTTCATCTGTGTCTAAGACCTTCAGAGGGGACTTTATATAACAGCAGTATGTGTTCACGGAGGTCCTGGTTTAGTCCTGGTTTAGTCCTGGTGTAGTCCTGGTGTAGTCCTGGTGTAGTCCTGGTGTAGTCCTGGTTTAGTCCTGGTGTAGTCCTGGTGTAGTCCTGGTGTAGTCCTGGTGTAGTCCTGGTGTAGTCCTGGTTTAGTCCTGGTTTAGTCCTGGTTTAGTCCTGGTTTAGTCCTGGTTTAGTCCTGGTTTAGTCCTGGTTTAGTCCTGGTTTAGTCCTGGTTTAGTCCTGGTTTTGTCCTGGTTTAGTCCTGGTTTAGTCCTGGCGTAGCTCCTGTTTTGGCTGTGTACAGTATGTTCAGTCTGCTCGCTCAGTCCGCTAATGTCCCCATGACCACTTTGCTGCTCTCTGATTGGTCGCTGCACGAACGTCTCGAGGAAAGGCTGAGCAAAGTTTATCTCCTGTGGGCGTTCATTTTCAGTCCGTGTGTTCGTCCCGAGACTGGGTCTGAACGCAGCTTAAGCTACGTTTGCAGTCGGCTTCCTTGGAATAGACTGATGTGTTGTGCTCTCTCCGTCATTCATGCATTCATTAAACTTACACACGGGGAACATGTTGATTTGAGAGCTGCAAGACGCCAAAAAACCTACAGCTTTCTGGATGTGAGGCCGGAGTGCTAACCACTCAGAATGAACCTGATTTATACGATTAATGCTACATGTCCATACTCTTTGGGGACTCGTCTCTGGAAGTCCCCAAATGGCACTGGTGGCACTGGTGTCACTGGTGTCACTGGTGGCACTGGTAAGTAAGTTAGTTTTTATTTATATACCGCCTTTTCACTGCAGATCTGAGTCTCAAAGCGGTTTACAATTGTTATTTTTGGGCATTTGTCTCTCACTCCACACAGAGATGGGAGCGGGGCCAGTACAGGAGGCGCATGCCAGAACTATTGGACATATTTTTAGTGGTAGGGGAAACCGGAGTACCCGGAGGAAACCTACGCAGACACGGGGAGAACATGCAAACTCCACTCAGAAAGGCCCTGGTCCGACCGGGATTCGAACCCAGGACCTTCTTGCTGAGAGGCGAGAGTGCTATCCACTCAGCCACCGTGCCGCTGGTGTCACTGGTGTCACTGGTGTCACTGGTGTCACTGGTGTCACTGGTGTCACTGGTGTCACTGGGACCATTGTACCGACACCAGTGACACACTTTCTGCAGCGTGTGATGTTTAAGCACATCTCTTCTGCTGCTCTGGGCTATTTCAGAATCGCTGGTCACTTATGAAGGGCTATGTCTGTGCACTGCTAAAAATGTCTCAACGAAGCATACCAGACATTTCCTGAACGACCTTGTCTTCAATAGAACAGCTGTTGATCCATGACACTGGGATCATATTCAATATATTATGTATACATTTGACTCGTGTCTTAGGGCTTCATACGTTTTATTCTAAGCTGTAATAATTCACTGAGATATTTTCAAGTTTTGACCAAAGTTTGTTTACCGGTGCAATATTTCTAAATGCAGGACATGAATTACTCAAACTAACGTCAATAAATGATGCTTAAATCTACTTAAATCTACTGAAGGCTATTTTTAAATCTACAGTTCATGATCACAAACTGTTCATCAAAAGCCACAGCTACAGAATGTTTTGGCCAAAGAGAAAAGAGATAAATATCTACAATGACAGATATCTTTAACGTGGACTAAGGCTATATCCACACGAAGACAAAACGCTTATAATTTCAGAAACGTTTTCTGTAAACACGGAGTTAGCTCAGTAAATGTGTGCGTCCATATGAATGTAGTCAATACGCCTGAAAACGCTGTGAAACTATGCCAGACCTGTTGGTGGCGCTGTGACGCAATGACGGGATCAAGCCCAAACTTCCGTGACGGGAACTGGGCATGTGCAGAATGTTGTAAACAGACAACATGGCGAGTGGGCGAGCTGGTACTACATTAGTATGGACGGACGATGAGGTTGAACTGTTGCTTCGGGTCACACTGGATTACAAAACCAACAAGCTACATTGTTGTTGTCATTATTTTCTGAGTGCGGCGCATGCTGCTTTAACAAGAGGCGGGCGATGACGCGTCTCAGATACATTGCGGAGAGGCAGTAACCACGGAGCGGCATATACGGAGTTTTGAAATCTTTCCACTCTGGGACCTACTTTCAAAAATGTTCGTTTACCCCCCCCTAAAACGCCGGCCTCGTATGGACCATACACTGGATTGATAAAGTATTTTTGCGTTTAGGCCTGAGCTTGACTTCGTGTGGACAGGGCCTTAGATGCAATCCTCTCAGATGAAGTAAACATGTCACAAAGCGGTTCATGAATGGGATGTGGAGAGTTGGGTTTCACTGTTGGATTGTTAAAGTGTGGGAATGTTGTGGAGTCGCTGGAAGAGGCTCTTAAAGCTCGGTCTGATGAACAAATGGAGAAGTGGGTCAACAGTGTCTCTGAGTCTAACGCAGCAGCTCATGGAATCACTCTGTCAACACGTGGATGTAGCAAACCTAGCTTAGCATTAGCATTAGCATTAGCATTAGCAACCTGCTCTGTGCCTCATATAAATGTTCATCTGAGATCATTTAGACGCCAGTTCTTATCTTGGGCTATGCAGTTTGTGGGTTGGATGTTTCTCTTTGGCTCAAATGTTTTTTTTTCTTATAAAATGATGACGTTATGATTGTTTTAGATGCTACAGAAATATGCATTCTTACTGGTGAAGGATTCTGTTGCGTTCATGTTGTAGTTTCATTGGTCATTTGGACAAGTTGAATTGGAAACAAAAGCATGTGTTTTTCATTATCCAAACCTGGTGTCATTAGAGCTGTCGTTATAGTCTGAGAGGTCATTAAAGTCATCATCACTAATGGAGCTGTGGATATTTTAAGCAGCTGCACTTCAGAGTAAACATTTATTCTTAGCCTTTGCTAGTTTAGCGCGTTATTATCCTTAACACGGTCTGTTTTTGTATGAACTGCACGTATGCCACTCAGATGTTGCTTTTAACTCCTGGTCAATCTCTTTTCTGATCTGAGACAAGGAAGTGATTTATGGAAAAAAGAACAGGTGTGTACTTAAATCTATATTAACATAAAATAAGGCATAAATATCAAAAAGGCTCCAAAGCTACAGGCTGCAACATGTGTTGTATTTATTCTTATTTGTTTTAACACAAACCAGATTGTTGCAGCCATATTACCATAATATTAGATGTTTTGGCTTCCTTATGGACAGTGCAGACTTTCAGCTTCACAATTCAAAATAAGGGAAGTCTGGACCAGCGGCTGTGGCAGCGGCTGTGGCAGCGGCTGTGGCAGCGGCTGTGGCAGCGGCTGTGGCTGTGGCTGTGGCAGCGGCTGTGGCTGTGGCTGTGGCAGCGGCTGTGGCTGTGGCTGTGGCAGCGGCTGTGGCAGCGGCTGTGGCCAGAGGAGTCGATCACATAAAGGTCCATTAGACTGTGGACTAACTGGCAGAGATCGGAATGAGCAGAAATCGGAATGAGCAGAAATCGGAATGAGCAGAGATCGGAATGAGCAGAGATCGGAATGAGCAGAGATCGGAATGAGCAGAGATCGGAATGAGCAGAGATCGGAATGAGCAGAGATCGGAATGAGCAGAGATCGGAATGAGCAGAGATCGGAATGAGCAGAGATCGGAATGAGCAGAGATCGGAATGAGCAGAGATCGGAATGAGCAGAGATCGGAATGAGCAGAGATCGGAATGAGCAGAGATCGGAATGAGCAGAGATCGGAATGAGCAGAGATCGGAATGAGCAGAGGGCATGTCTGGGGCAACCTCCTCCAGACTGTTCTCTGGCTCCTCTGTGTGCACTGGTTTCTTTACATCACATTTGGAAGTCGTTAAAGCTGATTTCAATTTCTCCTTTTTCTGTAAATGGCTACAGTTACCATGTATACAGATACATGGTAACTCACCATGTATCTGAATACATGGTGTATACAGATACATGGTGTTGCTAGCATCATGGTATATTGTGGTACATGGTATATTGTGGTACATGGTATATTGTGGTACATGGTATATTGTGGTACATGGTATATTGTGGTACATGGTATCATCCACACACAGGCTGTGTTCCTTCTGCAAACTCGCACACCACAGGTTGGGGACCTTTAAAACTTCAAACCAGAACGACATGAAGTAAACTTATTACAGCACAAATGATCTATAGTTTTGTGTGTTTGATATTTCCTGCTGAAGGTGACGGGACATAAGCACAGCCTTCACTATGAACGTGTGTGGTTCATTAATAAAAACTATTAATTACTGATATATTCATTATGACTTGTGGCAACTGTGAGTAACTCATACAGAGAATGTTCAGTGTATTTTTATCCAAATAGTAAAAAGTAAATTCATTACATTTGTAGCCTGCACCGATATAGAATATATTTGTTTATGTTTGACAATAATGTGAATAAAATGTCCGAGGGAGAGTAACCATAATCCTTTTAGGGCACAGCTGTTGAAAGGCGCGTAATCCAACCGTTCCGCGTCATAAAAACAAATGGTAAAAGCGTGGGTTTTAAGATAACTTATTTTAAAGGCAGAGGTTGAACCAGAAGCCACTCGGGTTGTGAACACAGGGCGTGCATCAACATTAAACAGGTTTGAAGCCTGTTTCCAGAGTCCGCACCTGTGCAGTGGATCTGCTCATCAGGAGATTGTACCTTTGTGACTCTGGTCTGTGAAAGGCGCTGTACAAATAAACTTCACCTGCTCACTCACTTAAAGTACACCAATACTTTAAACATTCTGATGAATATTTGATCGATTTGATAAGATTCTGATATCTGTGCTGGTTTTAGGTTAAGCCTGAGTGCATGTTCTTTGTCTGTGTCGGCAGATGGCGAAAGCAGAAGAATCAGTATTGACCGATTATTAAGCCTAGTATTGATACTGAATAAAGTACTTCTACTCTCATTGGTTCTGGAAAGAGTTTCAATTTTATTTTTCTGCAAAGCTTAAAAATTTGATTTGGAGAAAGTTCTATGTTTTTGGACTGAACCCTGTGGCTCCAGTTTCTTCTGTATCTGACTCCATGATTACCATTTTTACACCACCTATTTCTTCTCCTTCCTGTGGAGGGTGTGGGGGGGGGTACAGTATGGGGGGTATGTGGGGTGTGTATGGGGGGTACGGGGGGTATGGAGGGTATGGGGGGTGTGTATGGGGGGTACGTATGGGGGGTACGGGGGGTACAGTATGGGGTGTATGGGGGGTATGGAGGGTACAGTATGGAGGGTATGGAGAGTATGGGGGGTGTATATGGGGTGTGTATGGGGGGTATGGGGGGGGGGGTATGTGGGGTATGGAGTCTGCTCCTCCTTCGCTGGGAGCAGACGGAGGTTTGTGATGAATGTGTTTGAAGAAGCAAAAGGAAAAACATGTGCTGCTGCTTTAATCTTTTATTTAGTGCCTGTTGAAGTTCTATTGTGTCCACAGTTCTGCTCCTGCTCCAAAACGCCAACTTCTTCTGTATTTACTATTTTAAAATGTGTTCACTTTGAGCTGTTTGTACCAATCCAAACATCGTTCCTGATGAAGGCTGTTGTGGATTGTTTAGTTTGTTTCCGAACACTTCAGGAGAGCACTTTACCGCAGCAGGTGCTCTGTTTCCCAAAAGGACAAAGAGTGACCGCTTTTATTTCATACTGTCCTTGAGATATTATTACTGTAGCTGTGTACAGTCTTGCATTTATATGATGTATTATATATAAAGTGTCAGTTAAAGTATCTGGACTTTAAAGGTTATAACTCTAAAACTAAAATGACTTTCATAGATTAGAACAAAGATTCCAAACACAGACAGATCAAAGAGAAAGTGTGAATAAAATCAAAAGGAAAGATCATTTTGGCGACATTTTAAACCCAGCTCAGCCTCTGATTGGATCATTCTGAGACTCGCTGAAGTCCATGGTCAGACCTCATCGCTAAGCAGAGGTGTGGTGGGTCAGGGGAGGATGGGGGACATCAGGGAAGAGCAGATTTACAATCCATTATGTGATTGAACAGGTTTGTGTGTCCGTGCGTCTCTGTAAACGTCTTATTCTGACAGTTTATGACACATGCAGTGAAACGATGCTGTTTTTAATCACTTTGCCTCTGATTTGATTTGTCCAGTGTCCTCTTCTTAGTGACAGATGTTTATGTCCAGTGTCCTCTTCTTAGTGACAGATGTTTATGTCCAGTGTCACAGATGTTTCAAAAGCTGATCTCTGAATACTTACATACAGTACATACAGTACATACAGTACAGGCATCAATCCACCTCTCTCTGCTTCTCTCACTGCTGCAGCCTCCTCCCTCCTCCCTCCCTTCTCTCCTCCCTCCCTCTCTCCTCTCCTCCCTCCCTCCCTCTTCTCTTCCAATGACCTACTTCCTGGTGCTGGAAAAGTCGATGAGCCACTGGGCTGAATGAAAAGTCTCTGTAGTATCCCTTCGTTCTCTTTATAAAAAGTGGGAAGACGATGCATTAAGACCGGTACTTAGTCATTTGAACAGATACAAATTCGACAGTGCCTTGCGAAAGTATTCGGCCCCCTTGAACCTTTCAACATTTCGCCACATTTCAGGCTTCAAACATAAAGATATAAAATTTTAATTTTTTGTCATGAATCAACAAGTGGGACACAATCGTGAAGTGGAACAAAATTTATTGGATAATTTAAACTTTTTTAACAAATAAAAAACTGAAAAGTGGGGCGTGCAATATTATTGGGCCCCTTTACTTTCAGTGCAGCAAACTCAGTCCAGAAGTTCAGTGAGGATCTTTGAATGATCCAATGTTGTCCTAAATGACTGATGATGATAAATAGAATGCACCTGTGTGTAATCAAGTCTCCGTATAAATGCACCTGCTCTTTGATAGTCTCAGGGTTCTGTTTAAAGCACAGAGAGAACCATGAAGACAAAGGAACACACCAGGCAGGTCCGAGATACTGTTGTGGAGAAGTTTAAAGCCGGATTTGGATACAAAAAGATTTCCCAAGCTTTAAACATCTCAAGGAGCACTGTGCAAGCAATTATATTGAAATGGAAGGAGTATCAGACCACTGCAAATCTACCAAGACCCGGCCGTCCCTCCAAACTTTCATCTCAAACAAGGAGAAGACTGATCAGAGATGCAGCCAAGAGGCCCATGATCACTCTGGATGAACTGCAGATAACTACAGCTGAGGTGGGAGAGTCTGTCCATAGGACAACAATCAGTCGTGCACTGCACAAATCTGGCCTTTATGGAAGAGTGGCAAGAAGAAAGCCATTTCTCAAAGATATCCATAAAAAGTCTGGTTTAAAGTTTGCCACAAGCCACCTGGGAGACACACCAAACATGTGGAAGAAGGTGCTCTGGTCAGATGGAACCAAAATCAAACTTTTTGGCCACAATGCAAAACGATATGTTTGGCGTAAAAGCAACACAGCTCATCACCCTGAACACACCATCCCCACTGTCAAACATGGTGGTGGCAGCATCATGCTTTGGGCCTGCTTTTCTTCAGCAGGGACAGGGAAGATGGCTAAAATTGATGGGAAGATGGATGGAGCCAAATACAGGACCATTCTGGAAGAAAACCTGTTGGAGTCTGCAAAAGACCTGAGACTGGGACGGAGATTTATCTTCCAACAGGACAATGATCCAAAACATAAAGCCAAATCTACAATGGAATGGTTCACAAATAGACGTATCCAGGTGTTAGAATGGCCAAGTCAAAGTCCAGACCTGAATCCAATCGAGAATCTGTGGAAAGAGCTGAAGACTGCTGTTCACAAACGCTCTCCATCCAACCTCACTGAGCTCCAGCTGTTTTGCAAGGAAGAATGGGAAAGAATTCCAGTCTCTCGATGTGCAAAACTGATAGAGACATATCCCAAGCGACTTGCAGCTGTAATTGCAGCAAAAGGTGGCGCTACAAAGTATTAGCGCAAGGGGCCGAATAATATTGCATGCCCCACTTTTCAGTTTTTTATTTGTTAAAAAAAGTTTAAATTATACAATACATTTCGTTCCTCTTCACGATTGTGTCCCACTTGTTGTTGATTCTTGAAAAAAAAAATATTTTTTATATCTTTATGTTTGAAGACTGAAATGTGGCGAAATGTTGAAAGGTTCAAGGGGGCCGAATACTTTCGCAAGGCACTGTATATAGACTTTTAATATCTACTACATGTATGACATTTATCAACATTCTCTGACGTTGGTCTCTCCCTATGGAACAATACATATTTGGGCTATATATTCTGTGTCTTAAAGCTGCAGTACCTGACTTTATGTTTGTATTCATGAGTTAAATCCAACCCATATCCAGCAGTGCATTGGGACATACGTCCTTTTGAAGAATAAGCAGCGCAGGTTTGTGCTGGAGTCATTTTATTTTAGATCGAGTTTTGGTGAAACAAGGAAGAGAATGTGTTTGGGGTCCAGATTGTGACCAATCACAGCGGACCACTGGCCCCCACTTTCTTGAGAAAAGCCACAGGTCTGTGGTTAGCACAGACAGGTCTGTGGTTAGCACAGACAGCTGAGGTAAACAAGCGGCGGAGGCTAACCTGAAACTTCTGTGTCTTTGTTATCGGTTACTGCTTACTCAGAGAAACAGACAAAAGAAAGTCTCGTTCCTCCGCACTTCCTGGTTCTATCGTTCTATGGTCACGCCACGTTCACATGTGCGATCCATGTGAGACGCCAGCTCCGTAAAAAGTGGTGCAGCTTTAACTGTTGATTCTCTGATCTGTTTTGGGGATTTCAATGGTTTTATTAAGTCTCTGAGATGATGCTGTAGTGATTTAGGGAAATACAAGAATAAATGGTATTGTATTGTACTTCTGTGACTAATACTGTTTCAAGGACACATCTACTAAAGCTAAAGGATGAGTTTATCATAATACTCTTTAACTGATAACTTCCTGTTTCCTGTGAGTTAGAGCCACATGTTTCCCTGAGATGAACCGTGCAGGAAGAGGTATGAGCCAATGTGGGACGTTTTCAAAGTCGAGCCTTCTGATCCCGTGACGCTGCATGAAAGCAGATTATTATGCATACCTGGGGAAACAAAGATTTATAAAATGTTTACTAACCGTCCAGATGGAGCGGCCATCTTTTATGTGATTGCTGCTCATACTCTGCAGTCATTGGACCATGGATAATTCAAGAATATGGCAACAAAGGACATTTCAAAGTGGTTGGAATCATGACAGATGTCATGAAGGGGGTAAAATGTCACCCTATTGAGGGCAATAATGGGGTATGACAGTGACCCCTGCGGAGGAGGGGGCTGAGGGATTATGTGCAAAGGTTAAAGAGGCACCGGAGGGACATGTGGCTGTGTGGACATATTAGCATGGTTAGTGCAGTGACGTTAGCATGATCATGGTGATGTTAGCATGATCATGGTGATGTTAGCATGTAGCGATCATGGAGCTAAGCTAAAACACCGAAGGCTGGATGTGGACCAGCAGGAGCCGTGTTGAGTGTAGGCTGGATGTGGACCAGCAGGAGCCGTGTTGAGTGTAGGCTGGATGTGGACCAGCAGGAGCCGTGTTGAGTGAAGGCACAATGTGGACCAGCAGGAGCCGTGTTGAGTGAAGGCTGGATGTGGACCAGCAGGAGCCGTGTTGAGTGTAGGCTGGATGTGGACCAGCAGGAGCCGTGTTGAGTGAAGGCACAATGTGGACCAGCAGGAGCCGTGTTGAGTGAAGGCTGGATGTGGACCAGCAGGAGCCGTGTTGAGTGTAGGCTGGATGTGGACCAGCAGGAGCCGTGTTGAGTGTAGGCTGGATGTGGACCAGCAGGAGCCGTGTAGAGTGAAGGCACAATGTGGACCAGCAGGAGCCGTGTTGAGTGAAGGCTGGATGTGGACCAGCAGGAGCCGTGTAGAGTGAAGGCACAATGTGGACCAGCAAGAGCCGTGTTGAGTGTAGGCTGGATGTGGACCAGCAGGAGCCGTGTTGAGTGAAGGCTGGATGTGGACCAGCAGGAGCCGTGTTGAGTGAAGGCACAATGTGGACCAGCAGGAGCCGTGTTGAGTGAAGGCTGGATGTGGACCAGCAGGAGCCGTGTTGAGTGTAGGCTGGATGTGGACCAGCAGGAGCCGTGTAGAGTGAAGGCTGGATGTGGACCAGCAGGAGCCGTGTTGAGTGAAGGCACAATGTGGACCAGCAAGAGCCGTGTTGAGTGTAGGCTGGATGTGGACCAGCAGGAGCCGTGTTGAGTGTAGGCTGGATGTGGACCAGCAGGAGCCGTGTTGAGTGAAGGCTGGATGTGGACCAGCAGGAGCCGTGTTGAGTGAAGGCTGGATGTGGACCAGCAGGAGCCGTGTTGAGTGAAGGCTGGATGTGGACCAGCAGGAGCCGTGTTGAGTGTAGGCTGGATGTGGACCAGCAGGAGCCGTGTAGAGTGAAGGCACAATGTGGACCAGCAGGAGCCGTGTTGAGTGAAGGCTGGATGTGGACCAGCAGGAGCCGTGTAGAGTGAAGGCACAATGTGGACCAGCAAGAGCCGTGTTGAGTGTAGGCTGGATGTGATAATGAAAAACATGAATCGACCCACTGCCTTTAAAACGAACGACTAGAGCCCGTTTGTGTCTCCTTTAAGCTCGTGTCGAAGGATCTGTGCGTTCATAAAGAATTCACCACGTCACTATTTTTAGACTCCACGGTGAGGACTGTTCCAGAGAGTGATGGCGCTGAACCATGAAGGTCCGTGAACCATGAAGGTGCGTGAACCATGAAGGTCCGTGAACCATAAAGGTCCGTGAACCATGAAGGTGCGTGAACCATGAAGGTCCGTGGGGCTCGGTGCAGATTTGTGACTCGTCTAAAATGCAGCATAAGAAACGGACTAATTCACATGTTTTCATAATCGGCGCAGGATGAGGACGAAAACACTGGACTTGATTTGATTTGCTTTTCGTTGCTAATACGACGCAGACTCTCGCATAAAAAGATTTAAATATGACATTACTAAAACGCTAGTAACAACCAAGCACCAGTTTAGATGATTTAAATTTGTGTGAGGGGTTAAAAACAATACATTTATGTGTTACCAGTTGTTTTTAGTTAAATGAAAGGCAAATGAATAGTGTATTGCTAAAAGTCTGTTTTTTCATTATTATTTTTTTATGAATCAATCATTTTTTCTGTATAGAGCCCGTTACAAAGCTCAACCAAAGCTCCATAAAAACATTCATACAATCAAAATATACAAGTTAGAAGCATTAAAAAAGTGCCACGGCCCTAATGAGTGTTAAAAGTGTTAAAAGTCAGTCTGAGTTTTAAGCCTTGATTTTAAAAAAAGGCCACTCTCATATCAGCGGGCAGCGGGTTCCAGAGTCTGATTCCAGGACTGAGAATGGACCGGTCTCTCCAGAGTTTGGACCTAGTCTGTAAGTTAGTAATAGTAAGTTAGTAAGTTTTTATTTATATACCGCCTTTTCACGGCAGAATTGAGTCTCAAAGCGGTTTACAATTGTTATTTTTGGGCATTTGTCTCTCACTCCACACAGAGATGGGAGCGGGGCCAGTACAGGAGGCACATGCCAGAACTATTGGACATATTTTTAGTGGTAGGGGAAACCGGAGTACCCGGAGGAAACCTACGCAGACACGGGGAGAACATGCAAACTCCACTCAGAAAGAACCCAGGACCTTCTTGCTGAGAGGCGAGAGTGCTATCCACTCAGCCACCGTGCCGCCCCGTCTGTGTTTCTTCCAGGTGGAGCTGAGCTTTAAGGCCTCAATGATCTGCAAGAGTCACAAAAAAGAGAGACCATGGGGGGCTTACAAACAAAAAGGAAAATTTTAAAATCAACTCAAAACAAAACTGGAGCCAATGTCATGGTTTAAAAGTGACACAACGCCCACAGCCAAGTTGTTGATGCCATTTCTATGTTGTTATGATCCCACTTTACAACCACAACGGATTTATTTCGCAAAGATAGTTCCCGGATAACCATCCCCGGGGTCCATTCATTCACAAGAACCATAAACTACAGAAGTGTTGGTGCTCTCTTTGTACTGTCCATGACCACCCGGGTTCTTTTCAAAGCAGAGAGAAAATCCTCCAGGGTCTCGTGGCTCATTTCGTCCTCTGCTCAGTCTTTTGTGTGTGTTTCGTGTCTGTTTCTCTCTGGAGCAGCTCGGGCTCGTCTCACTATTGTGTCTCTCGCATTGAGGCGTTTGTCGGAAAAGTCCAGGAAAGACGAGGATCTGACTTTGGTTCTTACTGATCAAAAGAAACCTCCAGCTCAGCACCATTTGTTGCTGTTGAAAAGAAAAAAACATGTTGTATTGGAAGCATTCTGTACTGTCCATGTTCAAGACCTTATGCCGGGTTTAAAAAAAAAAAATTGTGGATCTCAAAATTGCATGACAATGTCGATCTGAAGGAGATTCCGGCAAAAAAAATCCTATATTTTATAAAAAGAACGTGTTTTTCATGAATTTAAGCTGTCTATGCTCTAACCTGTGTGTGACGTCACAGCGGGTAACGCCCATGCATTGAAAACCATGGATCTATGCCACAGGACTGCCTTTTCTCTCTTCTCTCCACTGATGCCCAACACAATACTGCCCTCTACAGGTGACAATTGCTCACTACACATAAATTGCCGTTTTGAGAGTGAAAAAGTGTCTAAGGTGGGATTTGAACCCCAGTATCTGGATGGACAGTCCATCGACACAACCACTGGACTATCTCAGTGACAATGAAGTGTTACATTCTAGTATTTATGTCACACTTGCTGTACACGGCCTTGTCATCTTGAATATCCGCAAAAAAAGAACGAATACCAAATTGTAAACAACTTACAGCGTTGAAACGTACCCGCTCTGACGTCACCAAGGGCTGTGAAGTTTTTTTGTCTCTAAGGGCGTTGCTATGGGGTTATTTCGATCAGACAAAAAAACAACTGATTTTGAAACCTTTAGTAGTTCTCTTCTAATATAAAATGGTATTAAAACTGTATTTCTAAATAAATCAAACCCGTCATAAGGTCTTTAAAGGAGCAGAATCTAAACATGTGGCCAAAAGTGGTTCTGCAGCCTCTCCCACTCTCCCTGACTCAGGTTGCCAGATATGCAGACGAATCCAGCTGGGACCATAACAGCTGAATAGACAAGAGTTTAGTCAACAACAAATCTATAACCAACACCTTTTTCACAAAGATAGAAATCCTGGTTTTATTCCTTGTTTTGTCGTTAATGATTTGAGAATCATAACGAGACCTTTTTTAGTTCTGCTCCACATGGTACTTTACCAGTGAGATTAGCTCCACCCGGTGAGTTCTGGCGCCCGGATCACAGACTTTCTGATTGGTGAAACGGTGGAGGGGGGGACATCGAAATGAAAACAATAACAAGATTTAGGGGCTGGAAAAGTAATTTAGAAATTCAAATATCTCCGAACGACTGTTATCAGTTAAAGAAGGCTTGGAAAAGAACAGATTATTGTGACAGATTATGGCCCTTTAATGATGACAGATTAGGACCCTTTGACGACAGATTAGGGCCCTTTAATGATGACAGATTAGGGCCCTTTAATGACGACAGATTAGGGCTCTTTAATGATGACAGATTAGGGCCCTTTAATGATGACAGATTAGGGCCCTTTAATGATGACAGATTAGGGCCCTTTAATGATGACAGATTAGGGCCCTTTAATGATGACAGATTAGGGCCCTTTAATGACGACAGATTGGGGCTCTTTAATGACGACAGATTGGGGCTCTTTAATGACGACAGATTAGGGCTCTTTAATGACGACAGATTAGGACCCTTTAATGACGACAGATTAGGACCCTTTAATGACAGATTAGGGCCCTTTAATGATGACAGATTAGGGCTCTTTAATGATGACAGATTAGGGCCCTTTAATGACAGATTAGGCCCTTTTAATTATGACAGATTAGGGCCCTTTAATGATGACAGATTAGGACCCTTTAATGACGACAGATTAGGACCCTTTAATGACAGATTAGGGCCCTTTAATGATGACAGATTAGGGCTCTTTAATGATGACAGATTAGGGCCCTTTAATGACAGATTAGGGCCCTTTTAATGATGACAGATTAGGGCCCTTTAATGATGACAGATTAGGGCCCTTTAATGATGACAGATTGGGGCTCTTTAATGACGACAGATTAGGGCTCTTTAATGACGACAGATTAGGACCCTTTAATGACGTCAGATTAGGGCCCTTTATTGATGACAGATTAGGGCCCTTTAATGACGACAGATTAGGGCTCTTTAATGAGGATTTAACATGAAAATCTTACATGTTTTGCTACTTTAAAGACCTTATGACGGGTTTTAAAAAAAAAATAGTGGATATCAAAATTGCATGACAATGTCAATTTGAAAGAGATTCCGGCAAAAAAAAATTCTATATTTTATAAAAAGAACGTGTTTTTCATGAATTTAAGTTGTCTATGCTCTAACCTGTGTGTGACATCACAGCGGGCAACGCCCATGCATTGAAAACCATGGATCTATGCCACAGGACTGCCTTTTCTCTCTTCTCTCCACTGATGCCCAACACAATACTGCCCTCTACAGGTGACAATTGCTCATTACACATAAATTGCCGTTTTGAGTGTGAAAAAATGTCCTAGATGGAATTTGAACCCCAGTATCTGGATTGGCAGTCCATTGACACAACCACTAGACTATCTCAGTGACAACAAAATTACGTATTCTAGTAGTTACCTCATACTCGCTGTACACGGCCTTGTCATCTTGAATATCCGCGAAAAAAGAACGAATACCAAATTGTAAACAACTTACAGCATTGAAACGTACCCACTCTGACGTCACCAAGGGCTGTGAAGTTTTTTCGTTTCTAAGGGCGTTGCTATGGGGTTATTTCGATTTGGGGGGATCAGACAAAAAAAACCAACTGATTTTGAAACCTTTAGTAGTTCTCTTCTAATATAAAATGGTATTAAAACTGTATTTCTAAATAAATCAAACCCGTCATAAGGTCTTTAAGGCGTTGACTTCAGTTTGCTTTAGTGAGTGTGAAAGATTAGATTGTGTTTTTGTTGGAGCCTGTTAATCACTGCAGTTGCTTTTCCCCTTCTGCACAGAGGCATTATGGGTAGCACTCAAGCTTGTGGGTTTGATCCTGTGCTGAACCCAGGCTGTTCTGTGAGGAGTTTGCATGTTTCTCCCTGTGTCTGCAGTTTCTCCACATGAAGGTGGTCAGAGGGACTGATGGTACAGCTGCCTTGCTTCCTTCAGGCTGACTCTGGCTGAAGCAGTAAGACCAGAGTGAATGAGTAGTGACTTAGTGAATCCTTCTAGCCTGTAAAGTGCTGTGTAAGTGCATGGCTTTACTGTTATTAACCAAGTCCCTCTGGTTCTCTCCTATTGGTGGCTCGCAGTGAGTGACAGCTGCAGTCGACCAGTCACAGAGATGTACATTACTTTATGTCTATCATTTACATAAATCTGCATTAAATGATGAATTGGCTCCAAGGAAGTCGACCTTCATTTTCTGCCGTTTCATCCTCGCCGTTATGTTGTTATGTTTAGTCTGTTTAGTCTCTCGGGGCTTCCATACTTTATTCATGTGAAATGTTCTATTTCCTTGCACAAAATGACTTTTCCAAATGTGAGTACAGTAGATGTTCTGGAATGCGGAGTATGCGGAGTATGCAGTCAGTGGATCTCGAATGTGATTGTTAATCTACACAATACACGGAAACATAACATTGACTTTGAATGTAACCCATGCTGTTATTTGTTCTTTCTTGCAGATCATGCCTCCCAGATAGCAGCCCAGTCCTCCTCCTCCTCCCCCCTCCCCCGTCCCCTGCCCCCCCCGCTGCACCACTGCCACCTGGGATAGCACCTCCACCATGCCGCCTCGAAAGAGGAACCGGCCGGGCCTGGGCCTTCTGTGCTGCTTCGGGAGCAGTGAGCCTCCAGAGATCAACCTGAAGGACAGTGTTCCCCTGCAGCTGCTGGAGTTCAGCGCCCCCATGCCTCCGGCCGAGGAACTGCACGCTCGCTTCTCTGAGCTGGTGGTGAGTACGCAGAAAATATGTTCTTTCCCCTATAAAATATCTGCAATATGGCACATCCATCCATCCATCCATCCATCCATCCATCCATCCATCCATCCATCCATCCATCCATCCATCCATCCATCCATCCATCCATCCATCCATCCATCCATCCATCCATCCATCCATCCATCGCAATACGGCACACAAAGATGTTAATAGGGAAAAAAATCTATGTATGGCCTGTCTCTCTCTCTCTCTCCTGGGCTGTCTCTCTCTCTCTCTCCCGGGCTGTCTCTCTCTCTCTCTCCTGGGCTGTCTCTCTCTCTCTCTCCCGGGCTGTCTCTCTCTCTCTCTCTCCCGGGCTGTCTCTCTCTCTCTCTCTCCCGGGCTGTCTCTCTCTCTCTCTCTCCCGGGCTGTCTCTCTCTCTCTCTCTCCTGGCCTGTCTCTCTCTCTCTCTCTCCCGGCCTGTCTGTCTGTCTCTCTCTCTCTCTCCCGGCCTGTCTGTCTCTCTCCCGGCCTGTCTGTCTGTCTCTCTCTCTCTCCCGGCGGCCTGTCTCTCTCTCTCTCTCTCCCGGCCTGTCTGTCTCTCTCTCTCTCTCTCTCTCCCGGGCTGTCTCTCTCTCTCTCTCTCCCGGGCTGTCTCTCTCTCTCTCTCTCCCGGGCTGTCTCTCTCTCTCTCTCTCCCGGGCTGTCTCTCTCTCTCTCTCCTGGCCTGTCTCTCTCTCTCTCTCTCCCGGCCTGTCTGTCTGTCTCTCTCTCTCTCCCGGCGGCCTGTCTCTCTCTCTCTCTCTCCCGGCCTGTCTGTCTCTCTCCCGGCCTGTCTGTCTCTCTCTCTCTCCCGGCCTGTCTGTCTGTCTCTCTCTCTCTCCCGGCGGCCTGTCTCTCTCTCTCTCTCTCCCGGCCTGTCTGTCTCTCTCCCGGCCTGTCTGTCTCTCTCTCTCTCCCGGCCTGTCTGTCTGTCTCTCTCTCTCTCCCGGCGGCCTGTCTCTCTCTCTCTCTCTCCCGGCTTGTCTGTCTCTCTCCCGGCCTGTCTGTCTCTCTCTCTCTCTCTCTCTCCCGGCGGCCTGTCTCTCCCCGTCCCAGATTAACTATGCTGGCGTGGGCCCAGGATGTGCAGAGGGATCAGAGCACAGCTGTCAGACTGCGTTGGCGTTTGGAACTGGACTTTTCTCTTTTTGTCTCCTGATTGGCTCACTTTGTCTCTGTCCCCTGATTGGCTCTCTCCTGATTGGCTCACTTTGTCTCTGTCCCCTGATTGGCTCTCTCCTGATTGGCTCACTTTGTCTCTGTCCCCTGATTGGCTCTCTCCTGGTTGGCTCACTTCCTGTCTCTGTCTCTTGTACTCATCTCATTAGTCAGTATATTTCTGTTACCCATGAGTTTGCCCGCTCTGCTTCAGCGCGTGTCCAGTGAATGTTGAAGTGAACACCTGCAGATTATCCAAATCCTCAGACTCAGATTATTGACCTCATATTATTGACCTCAGATTATTGACCTCAGATTATTGACCTGTCACTGCAGATCCTCTCTTTTTAACCAGTTTATAACATATTCAAAACCATTTACTGTATGGTTTTTTACTTGTTCAACCCACTACCACCATCCCTACTACCATTACTACTACTACTTCTACTGCAATCACTACTACTACTACTTCTACTGCAATCACTACTACTACTACTACTACTTCTACTACAATCACTACTACTACTACTTCTACTGCAATCACTACTACTACTACTACTACTTCTACTACAATCACTACTACTACTACTTCTACTACAATCACTACTACTTCTACTACAATCACTACTACTACTACTTCTACTGCAATCACTACTACTACTACTACTACTTCTTCTACAATCACTACTACTACTACTACTTCTTCTACAATCACTACTACTACTACTACTTCTTCTACAATCACTACTACTACTACTTCTACTACAATCACTACTACTACTACTTCTACTACAATCACTACTACTACTACTTCTACTGCAATCACTACTACTACTACTACTTCTACTGCCATCACTACTACTACTACCACCACAGTACCACTACTACTACTATCTTTACTACTGCCACTGCTACTACTGCTGCTACTGCTACTACTGCTACTACTACTGCTACTACTGCTACTACTGCTGCTACTGCTACTACTGCTACTACTACTGCTACTACTGCTACTACTGCTGTTACTGCTACTGCTACTACTACTGCTACTGCTACTACTACTGCTACTACTGCTACTACTGCTGTTACTGCTACTGCTACTACTACTGCTACTGCTGCTACTACTACTACTACTGCTACTGCTACTTCTGCTTCTGCTACTACTGCTACTAAAGTAAATAGACCTGATGTACCCAGTCCAGTTGTGTATGTCTAAACTGTTGACTCCGACCCTAAATCGCTCTGACTGCTCCAAATGTCGGTCACATGTCGTGTCTAAAGCTCTACTGAATATCCCAAACTGTAAACAGACGGATAACGAAGTGAAACGACCCGTCTCTGATTTCCAAAGCTCTTAACTTGCACATTTCTGACTCTGGGACGAGAGAGAGAGGATTTGGCATTTCTCACTTGGATCTGAGCGTGACCACATGTTGCAGATGGATTATTACGCACATGAACGAACGCTGGAGATGCTTTTTCTACTGTGTGGTCGCTTCTTTCAATGGCGCCACCGGTTAAAATGTTCTGTCCTTTATCGTCCTGATAGTTGAAATGTTGGCCTCATTTTTTTATAATGCGTAAATGCGTTTTTTTTCACATTTTCCAGCCCCCACGGCCATTTTGAAACTGCCCATAGACTGCAAAAGTGGTGGCACATTAGTTTAAACGGCGGAGATAGGCGTAACTTTGTCCGTTGAGCTGAGGCTAATGTAAATAAAACATGTGGGTATCTGGTCCTATGATACGAGTACAAGCTTATGGTATCGACTTAGCCTGGTCCTACCACACCATAGTACTAGTTTCATTTGGGACTAAGGTCTGGATTTGCTCCATTGACTCCATAAACAGGTGGGAGGGGCTAACTCCGCAGATTGAAACCATTGGATCTGAGTTTACCGTGACGTATGTAATGAGCCCGAGTGAGTTGTTAGCATTTAGCCTAGCTTTAGCCATTTCCTTTGCCGCTAACGGAGCCTGTGGGGAGTAGCGCCAAAATCTTATCCAGAGATTCCTTTTACTAAACATTCCTGGTTCCATAGAACCAGACCAGAATACTTTACTATCGCATTCTTTGCCAAACTACAACCTGCCCGTTCAACGCAAACTCTTGTCACCCACATCTTACTACAACACCCGCCTCCCGCGCTCTCTGATTGGTTGGATTGAATTCAACCGATTGTAATCTCAAACACAGGGACCAGTTAAGCCTGGTTCACACGAGACGATTTTAAAATTGTCGGCCGATTTTTCTCCGTGTTAGACCCCACACGGGGAGATTAAAAATCCTGCGTCTAACCACTTTGGTCGTGCAGTGTGTGGTGCGTAGCCACACGGCAAGATCACGCAAGCCACAAACATCACACACGAACCGACACCCCCCCCCCGAGCATTCCCAGGTCAGATGGAAATCTCACAAAATCTCTCGAGATCAAGCGTGACTTCAGAGTAAACAGTCATGGCGGACGAAGAGGATGCAGTGGCGATAGTGTGCAGTTTGTTGTTAACAGAGAAGACACGTAATCCAAAGAAAAGGCAATGGTCAAAGCCATGCTGCTGTGTTTTGGTTTTTTTCCGGTGTTTCCTCACCGGCTTGTCACCTCGTCTTCTTATTGGCTACACGCCGTAGTCATGGCAACGCGCTCGCTTGTCCTCGGAGGACACCACACACGACAAGAAATCGGGCCAAAACAATCCAACATGTTGGATATCCCCGATTTGAGATCGGGAGCAGTCCCGATGTCCTTCCGAGCGACGAGTGCAGTCTTAACACACCACACACGGCAGGATAATCTGTAAGATTTTGTTACGGAAATCGGAGCGTTTCTTAATCGGGTCTAAATCGGCCTAAATATCCTGCCGTGTGAACCAGGCTTTACACAGGGACCAGTTACATGCAGGACGTGATGATTGAGCCGAGTTTACGGATGGATAAGACCAGGGCAGTATGTCACTAACTTTGAAATGTGTGGGCATTTTAGATTATTATCCAGTTGTGATAAAACCAGACTGATGCATGGCGTTCTGTAAAGGTTTATATAAGCAGTAATTATCAAATGTTTAAAATGCAGATTAAAACTATCTGGATATTATTTCCTTATTCACTTGTTCTTAAGATAAATATTCTTCTTGCTGTTTAGTGTTCGAGATGGACACCTGCCGCCGGGATCTGTGGTGACGATGAAATAGAAACTTTTTTTGTATGGAATAAATAAAGACTTTTTCCATGGAAACTGCAGATGGAGGTTATTGTTATGAAAAGGGTTTGAAAGAGGAGCTCATACAGAGACCGAGCGGAGGAGGTGTCTATACGTTATATATACCTCATATATAACCCACCTGCATGTGTCTATACCAGGGGTCGGGAACCCAAAATGTTCAAAGAGCCATAATTGACAAAAAAACTAAAAACATCTGTCTGGAGCCGCAAAAAAATAGCAGCCTTGTATAACGCTTTTATGAAGGTAACACAGGCTGCAAGATGTATTAGCTACATTAGCCTAATATCTAAATGACAAAGTAAAGGCTACAAATACATAATAATCATTCATGATTATCAAATGTGTATTTTCACTGCAGCGTGTCGCACCACGCGTGTCGTGAATGACGCAACACGTGACGACTCTGCTTTAGTTTAACTTCCATTTTTTTTTGCCTTCATGCAATTGTAGAAATACAGTAAATAAATCTGCTTTGGGCTCAGAGGTCACACACCTGCATCACTGTCTGCTCATAGCCATCACGTCACAGGCTGAAGTTTGCTGGAGCTGAATTCAAATCCTTAATGGCCTTTTCTTTCACCGTCTTTGAGAAGGTTTTGAAGTCTGAAAATAGGTGCTCTGAATTTTTGATGAATGAATCCTTCACGTAATCACCGTTTACGTCGTTTTGCGCGTCATTGTTCCTCGTGTTGCAACAAAACTTTTCATTACAAACATGAAGCAGTCCTTCCTCATTGACTGAAAGAAAATGTTCATTCTCATTCTTAGTCCAGTCTTGTTATCGACTCTTTCTCGTTTTAGCTTTGGGATCCATGTGCACTTACAGTCTATGATGCTCACACGCCGGTTTGTTTACAGCAGCGGCCGCATGGGGCGGGGCCGCGTGACCGCGCGTCATAGGATATGACGCACTACGTTGACAGAAATGTTGAAATTAGATATTACTTATACATATTTTTACAGCATTTAAAAACGTAAAGATTGTTTTTCCTTCTACAGAAACCACATTCAAACTAGAAATAAAATATAGCCCTCACACTCCATTTTCAGACATTTTTGAAAAGGCTCCAGGAGCCACTCCAGGAGCACTCAAGAGCCGCATGCGGCTCCGGAGCCGCGGGTTGCCGACCCCTGGTCTATACGTTATATACACCTCACATATATAACCCACCTGCATGTGTCTATACGTTATATATACCTTACATATATAACCCACCTGCATGTGTCTATACGTTATATATACCTCACATATATAACCCACCTGCATGTGTCTATACGTTATATATACCTCACATATATAACCCACCTGCATGTGTCTATACGTTATATATACCTCACATATATAAACCACCTGCATGTGTCTATACGTTATATATACCTCACATATATAAACCACCTGCATGTGTCTATACGTTATATATACCTCACATATATAAACCACCTGCATGTGTCTATACGTTATATATACCTCACATATATAAACCACCTGCATGTGTCTATACGTTATATATACCTCACATATATAAACCACCTGCATGTGTCTATACGTTATATATACCTCACATATATAAACCACCTGCATGTGTCTATACGTTATATATACCTCACATATATAAACCACCTGCATGTGTCGATACGTTATATATACCTCACATATATAAACCACCTGCATGTGTCTATACGTTATATATACCTCACATATATAAACCACCTGCATGTGTCTATACGTTATATATACCTCACATATATAAACCACCTGCATGTGTCTGAGCGCCCATAATAACGCATCTATACCTCACGTCTATACCTCACGTCTATACCTCACGTCTATACGTCACGTCTATACGTCACGTCTATACGTCACGTCTATACCTCACGTCTATACCTCACGTCTATACGTCACGTCTATACCTCACGTCTATACGTCACGTCTATACGTCACGTCTATACCTCACGTCTATACGTCACGTCTATACCTCACGTCTATACGTCACGTCTATACCTCACGTCTATACGTCACGTCTATACCTCACGTCTATACGTCACGTCTATACCTCACGTCTATACGTCACGTCTATACGTCACGTCTATACGTCACGTCTATACGTCACGTCTATACGTCACGTCTATACCTCACGTCTATACGTCACGTCTATACGTCACGTCTATACGTCACGTCTATACGTCACGTCTATACGTCACGTCTATACGTCACGTCTATACGTCACGTCTATACGTCACGTCTATACGTCACGTCTATACGTCACGTCTATACGTCACGTCTATACGTCACGTCTATACCTCATTCATGCATTCTCCAGACTTCATGGCGTCTTTGGGCCGGACTTTCCCAAAACAGTTAAAATCGATTTGTATAAATTCCATTTGAAGCAAATGTTGAATCAGACTTTCTACTCATTCATGAAACTTATCCTCGTTCCCACTTCTTTAAAAAACATTTATTTTCTGTTGTGGGAAAGTTTTTCTTTAACAAAATAAATAATTAGATTCCATTTGTTAAGGCTGGAGTTGGCTTGCTAACCCTCTGTTTCGACGCTTTATTGAAGGTCTGGTCTTTAACTGTTATTGGAACAAAGTCCGAAGGTTCTTTGGCGATTTGTGCTGATTTAAGATGAAAAGATCCTTGATTGGTCCCACAGCGGGGAAATGTCAGTGTTGCATCACAAGGTACAGAGGAGTAGGAATGAGACGCTCACAGCACAAAATAAATGAACAATAGCTCTATAGTCATAAAAATAAAATAAAATCTCTAACTCTAGAATCAAAGAAACAAGTATAAAATCTCTATTTTGAACATAATAAAGACATTTTTTTAACATATTCTTTTGGTTTTGTTTTGAGCAGAGAAAAAACATTGTAAAAATTTGAATCAATAAACCTGTTTTTCCTCCGAATAAACCCAATCTGCTTCTTCCCCTCGGCAGACGACAGCTGGTGTGGACTCTGGACTGGATTAGATTTCTGTTCTGTTCTTCCCGTCTTCATTTGTGATCTGCTTTGTCCGTTTGACCCAAGCCCCATGATCCAAGATGGCGGCCTGTTCAGATCAGAGAGATTAGCGGAGCTCGCCCATATTTGGTCATTCCTCTGGTGCTCCCGGTTCATTGCAGTGGACGAGCTCCCATGATGCTTTGCGCCAAATAGGTGTGTGGCTCTCATGCACATGCACAGAGGGGCGGCGTTCTGACCAATCAGAGGGCGGCGTTCTGACCAATCAGAGCGGGAGACGATCGAGCAGAGTTTGTTTTCTATAAATCCACACTTTATTGCCACAAAGATTTAACAAGAGAAAAAGTGACACTGAAATCCCACAAAATCCACCCTTTATGAAAGCTGTAGGTCCTCTGTCGGGTCCTCTGTCAGGTTCTCTGTAGGTTCTCTGTCAGGTTCTCTGTAGGTTCTCTGTCGGGTTCTCTGTAGGTCCTCTGTAGGTTCTCTGTAGGTTCTCTGTCGGTCCTCTGTAGGTTCTCTGTAGGTTCTCTGTCGGTCCTCTGTAGGTTCTCTGTCAGGTTCTCTGTCGGGTTCTCTGTCGGGTTCTCTGTCGGGTTCTCTGTCGGGTTCTCTGTCGGGTTCTCTGTCGGGTCCTCTGTCGGGTTCTCTGTCGGGTTCTCTGTCGGGTCCTCTGTCGGGTTCTCTGTCGGGTTCTCTGTCGGGTTCTCTGTCGGGTCCTCTGTCGGGTCCTCTGTCGGGTTCTCTGTCGGGGGTTCTCTGTCGGGGGTTCTCTGTCGGGTTCTCTGTCGGTTTCTCTGTCAGCTGAGGTGCGTTTTAGTTTACATTGATTTCAATGATGTCAATGTCTTAGTAGTCTACATGAATTTAGTCTGGTTTAGTCTGCAGTACCAGGAGAATCCCCCGGGCACATGGTCCTTCAGCTCCAAGCTAGTAACACCATGGCCAGAAAATACATTCATGGTCTGACTCTGGGTCTGACTCTGGGTCTGACTCTGGGTCTGACTCTGGGTCTGACTCTGGGTCTGACTCTGGGTCTGACTCTGGGTCTGACTCTGGGTCTGACTCTGGGTCTTGGTTTGTGCTAATGTGTTATTTGACCCGGTCTCACAGTTTGGCCCAGTTTTAATCCCAGGTCTCTGGTCTCTGGTCCAGCTGTTCTGTGTCCATCTATTCAGACTCACTTCATTTCACAAACTGAGCCGTCGCATAAATATGTGGCCAGTTTTTCTTTCTGAATCAAAGAGCTAAAACTCTTTGATTGGGGTCAAGATTTTAATGATAAACTAACACTACAGTTCAATCTAAATTTACTCTTGTTTTTCATTATTTCATTATAAGTCTGGTCATACCATGTGTAAACTCTGGTCCATGATCATTTCCTACATGTACGTCTGGTCTTACCATGTGTAAACTCTGGTCCATGATCATCTCCTACATGTACGTCTGGTCTTACCATGTGTAAACTCTGGTCCATGGTCATTTCCTACATGTACGTCTGGTCTTACCATGTGTAAACTCTGGTCTATACGTCTGGAACAGGAAAAGGCTGAGTGAAAAAGTCGCTGCTGGTGTCAGACTGTAGAATGAGGTTTGAAATCTGCCTGAAGTTGCTCGATTGAAACGTCCTCTTCTTTTATCGAGTCAATTTAATGACTTCCCTCGTTTCCTGCAGCGAACGCCAGACAGGAAGTGAAAGAGAAGAGGAGGGAGACGGTACAAACTGAAAATGACAGTTAAAAAGATAAATGATCAAATGCAGCAGTGGTTTAAAGAATGGACAAGAATGTCTCACTTTGAAACTATACATTAACTATAGTTTAGATGTTGTTCTAATGTCGTGTTGTGGGGATTGGAGGGGTATAGTACACACCGTATTGATTTTTTTTAAACTTTTTTTTCACTTTGTAATATTAGATATAAAATATTAGAGAAAGAAGCATAAAATAATGCAAAATACACATTACCACCAAACGACACGTGTTTGTACATCTCTCTTCATTTAGCAGTCCTACAATTTAAGGGAGTGGAGGTTTCCTGGTCTTACCAAACAATTGTACTCATTTCATTTCGTACTAAGGTCTGGATTTTCTCTATTGACTCCGTTAACAGGTGGGAGGGGTTGGGGCATTTAGCCTAGCTTTAGCATTTAGCCTAGCTTTAGCATTTAGCCTAGCATTAGCGTGTAGCCTAGCTTTAGCATGTAGCCTAGCTTTAGCCATCTCCTTTGCCACTAACGGAGCCCGTGGGGAGTAGAGCCACAACATCTTTGCTTCAATGACATTTACTAAACATTCCTCTTGCTCCGGCTTCAGTTTCTTGATATTTGGATTGAACCAGAACAGATTATTTTACTATCGCATTCTCCGACAAACTACAACCAGCAAATTCTCCTACTCCTCCTACTCCTCCTACTCCTCCATGGGGAGTAGGAGTAGGAATAGCAGTAGTAGCAGTAGTAAGAGTAGGAGCCCTCTGTGGTCAGAGAGAAAACCTGTCAAAGCAGTTGAAGACCTGTCAAAGCAGGTGAAGACCTGTCCGAAGCAGTTGAAGACCTGTCCGAAGCAGTTGAAGACCTGTCCGAAGCAGTTGAAGACCTGTCCGAAGCAGTTGAAGACCTGTCCGAAGCAGTTGAAGATCTGTCAGAAGCAGTTGAAGACCTGTCAGAAGCAGTTGAAGACCTGTCAGAAGCAGTTGAAGACCTGTCAGAAGCAGTTGAAGACCTGTAGAAGCAGTTGAAGACCTGTAGAAGCAGTTGAAGATCTGTCAGAGCAGTTGAAGACCTGTCAACGCAGTTGAAGACCTGTCAAAGCAGTTGAAGACCTGTCAAAGCAGTTGAAGACCTGTCAGAAGCAGTTGAAGACCTGTCAGAAGCAGTTGAAGACCTGTCAGAAGCAGTTGAAGACCTGTCAGAAGCAGTTGAAGACCTGTCCGAAGCAGTTGAAGACCTGTCCGAAGCAGTTGAAGACCTGTCAGAAGCAGTTGAAGACCTGTCCGAAGCAGTTGAAGACCTGTCCGAAGCAGTTGAAGACCTGTCCGAAGCAGTTGAAGACCTGTCCGAAGCAGTTGAAGACCTGTCCGAAGCAGTTGAAGACCTGTCCGAAGCAGTTGAAGACCTGTCAGAAGCAGCAGGTGTCACAATATTAGCTTTAGTTTGTAAAACCTCTTCAGTGGAAGAGAAGGACACGGCCACATCACAGTTAAGTCGAGGGAATTAGATTTTGTTTTGAAAGATTACTGGAAGCACTGCTTGTGTTTGTGTGTTTGCTCGGTCATGTGGCCGAGACCATGTGGCCGAGACCATGTGGCCGAGACCATGTGGCCGAGACCATGTGGCCGAGACCATGTGATCGAGAATCTGGATGGTCTCAAGTTGAACGTGTAGAAGGGTCAGGGATTGTTACATAAGGAAAGGAACGGGCCGAGGTAAATGATGAACGGACATATTCTCTTTGTAAATTCAATCGTAAGCACTAATTATATCCTAAAGATCCTTTAAGATCAAAGTAGGATCTTAAAACACAGAAAATAGTTTTACTTTTGAAGGCGATGGAAACAATGGTTTTGTGTTTTACAATTGTTATTTGTCTTGCTTGTTTCTGCCTGAGATGTTGCTGCAGTACAGTGTTCATGGTTTTACACTGGTCCAGACCAGAGCAGAGAGGATTCATGGTTTTACACTGGTCCAGACCAGAGCAGAGAGGATTCATGGTTTTACACTGGTCCAGACCAGAGCAGAGAGGATTCATGGTTTTACACTGGTCCAGACCAGAGCAGAGAGGATTCATGGTTTTACACTGGTCCAGACCAGAGCAGAGAAAATGTTCTGAACCAAGCTCCACCTCTGCTGCTGTGACTGAAGGACTGTTATTATTATTAATAATAATAATAATAATAATAATAATAATAATAATAATAATATCTTTTTAGAATGATGTAATTACTTTCTGTTGTCTAAACGCTGCAAGAGCCTGGTTGTTTTTACTAATTGCTTTGCAGCGTCTCTGCAGCGTCTCTGCAGCGTCTCTGCAGCGTCTCGGTCTAAACGGGGCCTGAGATCTAGTGGTTTGGCCCAATGAAGATCTCGCGTACGTGCAGCGGTGTTTACAGAAGCACACGCTGCTTATGATGATCGAACACATGTGAAGAATGCTTTGAACTGCATTAGAAAACTCTTCACACTCTTTCCCCAGAGCCACAGTGAGCTCTGGCTGTCCTCCCTGAGCGGGTGAGGCATGATGCCATTCTCCATAGAGACACTCGGAATGTGCCTGCTCCATCTGAAAGACAGCTCCATGTGATTCCTATGGGCAGCTTTAGGGACCCTTCTCTGGGATCATCCTCAGTGAAAGGACCCCGGGAGGCCCTCACTTCTGCCTGACGTCATCTCGGCCTCGCTTTTGTGCTGAGATTAGTGAGAGGCGTTTGGAAATCCACTGCTGCCCCGGGCTCTGTGCACGCCGCGGTCTCTGTGCACGCTCTCGGTCTCTGTGCACGCCCTCGGTCTCTGTGCACGCCCTCGGTCTCTGTGCACGCCTCTCTGTGCACGCCCTCGGTCTCTGTGCACGCCCTCGGTCTCTGTGGACGCCTCTCTGTGCACGCCCCCGGTCTCTGTGGACGCCTCTCTGTGCACGCCCTCGGTCTCTGTGCACGCCCTCGGTCTCTGTGGACGCCTCTCTGTGCACGCCCTCGGTCTCTGTGGACGCCTCTCTGTGCACGCCCTCGGTCTCTGTGCACGCCCTCGGTCTCTGTGGACGCCTCTCTGTGCACGCCCTCGGTCTCTGTGCACGCCCTCGGTCTCTGTGCACGCCCTCGGTCTCTGTGCACGCCCCGGTCTCTGTGCACGCCCCGGTCTCTGTGCACGCCCCCGGTCTCTGTGCACGCCCCGGTCTCTGTGCACGCCCCGGTCTCTGTGCACGCCCCGGTCTCTGTGGCACGCCCTCGGTCTCTGTGCACGCCCTCGGTCTCTGTGCACGCCCCCGGTCTCTGTGCACGCCCCCGGTCTCTGTGCACGCCCCGGTCTCTGTGCACGCCCCCGGTCTCTGTGCACGCCCCCGGTCTCTGTGCACGCCCCCGGTCTCTCTATGATCACTGGGACTTCCTATTTTTCCTCTTCTCTTGTTGCCTGAGCTCGAGGTCCTGCTCGAGGTCCTGTTTCCTGGACTCATCTGCATCTCAAAAGGTTTAGAGGATTCTTTTACCAAACTGCAGAAGGGAACAGCCTGAATATTAAATCCCTCCAAAGCACTTTGTGAAAGAAACACACGTCTGTATATTTACCTGATGAAGTCAAACTAATCCATCAATCATTTGGTTGTACAGCACAATTCATGTACAAGGCGATTCAAAGTGCTTCACAAGAGAAATAAGCAAACACACAGATCATAATGCATTAAAAAGTCAATGTTATTTCATGTTAAAACAGCTGCATTAAAGTGTGGGGTTAAAAACACAGTAAAAACTGGGTTTAAAAAGGAGAGACAAGTTTTAAGTACAGAAAAGAATCAGTTTTATGCAGAGCTAAAAAGATGTTTTCAGCCTAGTTTTGAACATGGTCAGAGTAGAGAACAGTCTCACACCTTCAGGAAGACTGCTCCATATCCTCGCTGCAGGTTTAGGGGTCACAGATGGATCAAGGTTAGACTGAGACACACCCAATTTCTTTGACTTAAAGTAAAGTGGGGCGACAATAAAACATCTAAACAGACTTCTACTTGTGTATATTGTATTTTAACATTTTACAGAACATTTAACTTAATATAATAATCTTCTTTTTCAGGATGAGCTGGATCTCACGGATAAGAACCGGGAGGCCATGTTTGCTCTGCCGGATGAGAAGAAATGGCAAATCTACTGCAGCAAAAAGAAGGTAAGCTCAGTCCCATGACAAAGTGCCGTAATATCTCCTTCTGGATGACCTCGCCGTGACTGCATCATTTTCAAGAACCTTTTCCATCAACTCATTTGTGTGTTGACAAAAAACCGTTCAACTTACTCAATTTACTGCTGCAAAAGTTCCCTTTTGCCACTTCAATCTTGGAACAAGCAATTTCCTCTTTCAATAATTGTACCGCGACAAGGAGCTGGGCCCTCTGCTTCACCCCGACGCTGTGCCAAAGCGTCTCCTGTTGCTTCGCCAAAACAGCCTGGTCTCACTTTGTGGCCACGTCTGAACCAGCGACGGGCCGCGGCTCAGAAACTCAAGGTAATCCGGCCCACGCTGTCGTTCAGGAGCTAATTGGATAAATGGCTGTAAACAGTCTCTCGCGGTTACGCATCGGAAAACTGGATTTCTGATTTGGATTCGTAGTTTACACAGACCAAGCTTTACCCCGACAACCATTTTGAATATAAAAGGATTATTTAATAGCATTTAATGGGTCCAGCTTGTTTATAAGATTGATCAGAAGCAAATCAAGGAAGGCGGCTACAGAAGTGTTTACCATGTGATGAAAAAGTCCAAAAAACCAAGGCTGTATTTTGTTTCGGTGAATGTGTGAAAAAAACTTTGCACATGGGAGCTTACATAAAGGATTAATACGGCTCCACAATCCGTCATTTAATATCTGAAATGACCGCAGATGTTTTTAAGGAGTCTTAAAGCTGCGCCAGTGGTAATAAAAACTAGACATGTCGAGATGATTGGGGCTAAATGACCAGAAATGTGAACTAATGAAAGGTTTTCATGGTATTCAAGAGCAGGATGTATTTTGTTTGTTTTCCCTCATGTCTTGCAGTAGAAAATATTTCCTCCAGAGTAGTGAAAAATAACAAGGTTCATGCTAGAAAACAGCAGCTCTGGTCTAGCCTGGTCTTACCACACCATGGTACTCATTTCATTTGTACTAAGGTCTGGATTGGCTCCATTGACTCCGTGAACAGGTGGGAGGGGTTAACTCCTTTTGCAGATTGAAACCATTGGATCTGAGTTTACCGTGACGTTTGTAATGAACCCGAGTGAGTGAGGCATTTAGCCTTTAGCCTAGCTTTAGCCTTTAGCCTAGCTTTAGCCATCTCCTTTGCCGCTAACGGAGCCCGTGGGGAGTAGAGCCACAACATCTTTGCCTCAATGACATTTACTAAACATTCCTCTTGCTCCGGCTTCAGTTTCTTGATATTTGGATTGAACCAGAACAGATTATTTTACTATCGCATTCTCCGACAAACTGCAACCAGCAAATTCAGCACAAACTCTTGACGACACCGACACCGACCTACAACACCCGCCTCCCCCGCTCTCTGATTGGTCGGAGGGGATTCAACCGAGGAAACTGCAGCCAATAGGATCAGACCCAGACATAATGTAGGAAATGATCATGGACCAGAGTTTACACATGGTAAGACCAGACGTACATGTAGGAAATGACCATGGACCAGAGTTTACACATGGTAAGACCAGACGTACATGTAGGAAATGATCATGGACCAGAGTTTACACATGGTAAAACCAGACGTACATGTAGGAAATGATCATGGACCAGAGTTTACACATGGTAAGACCAGACGTACATGTAGGAGATTATCATGGACCAGAGTTTACACATGGTAAGACCAGACGTACATGTAGGAAATGACCATGGACCAGAGTTTACACATGGTAAGACCAGATGTACATGTAGGAGATGATCATGGACCAGAGTTTACACATGGTAAGACCAGACGTACATGTAGGAGATGATCATGGACCAGAGTTTACACATGGTAAGACCAGACGTACATGTAGGAAATGACCATGGACCAGAGATTACACATGGTAAGACCAGACGTACATGTAGGAGATGATCATGGACCAGAGTTTACACATGGTAAGACCCAGACTAACTCTGAACATGAGAAAAAGTAAAACAAAACGACTCATTCATGCCAAGAATGTTGTAGAAGGAAGTGTCCATTATGCAAACGGTGAATGCAGGAGGAGCGTACAGTCTGCAGCAGACACAACACACAGGGGTGGTCTGTGCGGCGCAGAAGGGCCGCTCTGGGCAGCTCTGGGCCGCTCTGGGCCGCTCTGGGCAGCTCTGGGCCGCTCTGGGCAGCTCCGGTCAGCGACTCACAAACGGCTCCTTGTTCTCACAAACTATGGCTCCAATTGTTTTGCTTAGAATCAAAACAAGGCAGAGAAAGGACATGTTAACTTTGTTCACCTAAAGAGAAACATGTAACAATACTGACGCGAACAAATGTGTTTTTTATTTACCATTATTGGCTCTTTTTCTCTAATGTGTCTTGGACTTGGGATTACTAGTCACTACAGCAGGGGTGTCCAAACTTTTCAGTTAGAGCCACTTTAGTTCACCAGACTAGTCCAGGGGCCGACTGAAAACTGTCTGGACTGGCATCGGGCTGTTCAGAGGTTTAGAATGAGCTGAAGTTGGCTGAATGACACATGTTTACCATCTCACCAGCTACATTAGCACCAATAATGTTCTGGGCTTTTGAACAAGGTCTATATTGGCTGAGCTGAAGTTGGATGGATGATACAGTGAACTTGTGTTTATGATCTCAGAGACGAGTGTGGGTTAGCGAGGCAGAGGGCCACATACAATGACGCTAAGGGCCGCAATTGGCCCCCGGGCCTGAGTTTGGACATGCCTGTTCCATAGAAACAGCATCTCACAAGAGCCCGCTTGTGTTGGTTTAAAATAATACAAAACCAAATTCAAACAATACTTACTTACCATTTATAAAAATGGTTTAAGATTGGAATATCTTGCACGATGTATTATGTCCCCAATTTTCAGCTCATCTCATACATTAAAATAATCATAATTATGTCAAAAATCCCCAAAACTGTTCTTTCAGACTTTTCCTAAGGACTCTGTTGCAGTTCATTAACTCACCTGTAGTGGTCATTGTCGTTACATAACTCCTAGATTTCATATCCTGTCCATTTCCTGTCTCTCGAGGTGAGACCTTATAAGGTCGTTCCATAAAGATATTTCCTGCAGAGACATTGGTTCACTGAAACTATTATTTTTCAACTTGTGGAATTCTTAAATGATCAAATCTACTTCTATGTCTCAGCTTTTATAAAATAGTTTTTATAGGACTCTCTACAGGAGCTGTGGCAGCTGTGTTTCTGACAAGAGAGAATCCTCTCCTTTAAGTTTGTAGCTGAAATCTGACACATGTCGCTGCAGCCGGACTGGCCTCAGGAAACTGGCTTTTAGAATCTGTTTGTACAAAAACACATTGACTTCCTTAAATGAGTTAGGAGTGTGTATTAGAGCAGTCTGGTTCCATCCTCCTCTGATTATAAATGTGTAGGTCCCTGTCCCCGGAGCTCTCACATGGGAACAGTTTGTGAAGACTGTGTTCAGATGTGAGCGAGGCCTGTTTAAAGCTTCTGCAGCGAGCGGCGCCGAGAGCAGAGAACACTCAGATCTACGTCACTCTGTAGAAAGCTTTTGTTTGAGTTATCGCCACGTTTCAACATCTTTGGACTGCTTTCCTTTGGGTCACACACAGTTTTGTTAGATCAACATTTGAATTAGCCTGGTCTTACCATTGTACTAGTTTCATTTAGTACTCAGGTCTGGATTTGGTCCATTGAGCTCGGTCAACAGGTGGAATTAGAATAAACGTGTCTAAAACCCTTCGGCCTGTCATGTCTTTGGCTAAATGTGCTTAATACATTACAGTCCCTGAAACATGTGAAAAACAAAATGGTGCAATAGCTCCTCACAACCAGCAGGGGGAGAAATACAAGTAGAGTAAGAAATATAATATCTCTATCACAGAACCTTCTTCTGATGCAAACACCAACGGCGAATGACATTTTCCAACGATGTGGATTTTCTCTGGTGCTTTGTCCTGGGAAAGGTCTGTTTTCGGCAGGTGCACGGTGATAGCTGCTTACAGTGGTCCACCTGATCCACCGCCGAGGGTTCTAGTCCCGCTCGGCTCCAGTTCTGATCCTAAATCTCCTGTAATGTCCCCAGACGTGAGGAATGCACAGTTTAGTGACTGTGTGTAATCGCTGTAATGGAGGAACAGGGCTGACCTTAAACTGTCAAACACAAACCTGAGAAACAGCCACCAAATATCAACTACTTTACTCTTTTGTGAATCATGAGAAAGTCTTTTTAAGGAACAATTGGTGATAGTTCCTCTTATTGTTCGTTATTCAATTGTCAAGAAGACCACAGTTTATTTAGTTTGGAATGAACCGTTCTTTCTAGAAAATAACGAGACGTGAATGAGAAAAATGTCTGTTCCCCTGTGTGGCGGCTGCTATAGTTCTGATTGGCAGTTTCTGATTGGCAGGTTCTGATTGGCTGGTTCTGATTGGCTAACCCTAACCCGAACTCGAGGCTCAGTTGGTAGAGCATTGGCCTTTAAGCCTGAAGGTCATGGGTTCGAGCCCACCACGAGATCTTCTCCACACATGGCAAATTACATTAAATATGTTTTATTTTTATATGGTGAACAATATAAAGAGACACAATGTTGTTATGGAAGTCCGAACTATGAAAGAAACTAATCTAGATAAAAATATATTTTCCATGAGTGACCTGCTGTTTCTGTGACGCACTCAGATAAAAAGTCTGTATGAAGTGAGTTTGGTTTGAGATGGTACAGTCCATGGACTCGAGACTAAAGTGTGTTCCTCCACAGGAGCAGGAGGACCCCAACAAGCTGGCCACGAGCTGGCCCGACTACTACATCGACCGCATCAACTCCATGGCTGCGGTGAGTCTGACAGTTACACTTATACTAATCATTTTGTTTCATGAGACGTTCTGATATTTTCACATCCAGGAAGTGGTTTGTGATTGACAGACGACTGATCAGTGCAGCTCCAGTGATTCCAGTTTGGGATTAGCTGTTTTTATTTTAGCTCAAAATGTATTTTAATCAGATTGGACCTGGTCTCAGTGATCTGGTCCTCGTCATGTCCCCCTCCCTGTCTCCCCTCCCTGTCTCCCTCCCTGTCTCCCCTCCCTGTCTCCCTCCCTGTCTCCCTCCCTGTCTCCCTCCCTGTCTCCCCTCCCTGTCTCCCTCCCTGTCTCCCTCCCTGTCTCCCTCCCTGTCTCCCTCCCTGTCTCCCTCCCTGTCTCCCTCCCTGTCTCCCTCCCTGTCTCCCTCCCTGTCTCCCTCCCTGTCTCCCTCCCTGTCTCCCTCCCTGTCTCCCTCCCTGTCTCCCCTCCCTGTCTCCCTCCCTGTCTCCCTCCCTGTCTCCCCTCCCTGTCTCCCCTCCCTGTCTCCCCTCCCTGTCTCCCCTCCCTGTCTCCCCTCCCTGTCTCCCTCCCTGTCTCCCTCCCTGTCTCCCTCCCTGTCTCCCTCCCTGTCTCCCTCCCTGTCCCCCTCCCTGTCCCTGTCCCCTTCCCTGTCTCCCTCCCTGTCTCCCCTTCCCTGTCCCCTTCCCTGTCCCCTTCCCTGTCCCCTTCCCTGTCCCCTTCCCTGTCTCCCTCCCTGTCTCCCCTTCCCTGTCCCCTTCCCTGTCCCCTTCCCTGTCTCCCTCCCTGTCTGTCCCCCCCCCCCCCCCCCGGCCCCTGCCCCCCCCCCCCCCCCCCCCCCCGGCCCCCCCCCCCCCCCTCCCCCGGCCCCTGGCCCCCCCCGCCCATGGCCCCTACCCCGGCCCCTGGCCCCTGTGGTCCGTGTTGCCGTGAGGCCCTGGGACTTGGCTCGCTCTAGTCCCTGCTGACTGTTTTTGCCTGAGCACATTCCTCTGTGTGACCTCGGCCTCACTGTGATGACAAACTGATCTTTTAGTGGCTCTGGCTCAGTCAGTGGTGGAAGCACAATCCAGTCAGACCTATGAAGCTAAGGAGGGCAGGGCCTGGTTAGTTCTGTGATGGGAGACCTCTGGGAGGGGCCGAAGGCACACAGGTTGCCTCGCTCTGGTCTCTCTTACGCTGGTTTCTCTGTGGTCGCTCTCTCTGGTGTCTTCCTGGTTGCTCTCTCTCTTTCTGGTCTCTCTCTGGCCTCTCTCTCTCTCTGGCCTCTCTCTCTCTCTCGCTATATATAAAACCAATGTTTTATTATTATTAATTGGAAATAAGCCTTAAACAGGACTTTCTTTACATTTCCCGAACACAACCGCTCTAGTTTTGCATCACTCCAAATGTTCTGCAGATTCACAAACTCTCGATTGTCTTTGGAGTCATGTTTATTCGCCACATTCTCTGCTCCAGATGTTTTTGTTTACTGGAGAGGAGCTGTACCTGGGTCAGCGTTTTCCACAGAGGTCTGGAGAACACATCTCTGTTCACGCCACAGAGAGACGATGCATTCAAAGACTTTTTGTGAAGTCAGGAGAAAATGCAGATGTGTTCTTTGCCAAAACTCTGAGCACTTTAACAGAACCTGTACAGTTACGTTATGTGTTACTTTGAGGCAGCTGGTCTCTCTCTCTGGTCTCCCTCTCTCTGGTCTCTCGCTCAGGTCTCTCTCTCTGGTCTCTCTCTCTGGTCTCTCTCTCTCTCTGGTCTCTCTCTCTGGTCTCTCTCTCTCTGGTCTCTCTCTCTCTGGTCTCTCACTCAGGTCTCTTTCTCTTTCTCTGGTCTCTCTCTCTGGTCACTTTCACTCTCTCTCTCTCTCTGGTCTCTCACTCAGGTCTCTCTCTCTCTGGTCTCTCTCTCTCTGGTCTCTCACTCAGGTCTCTCTCTCTGGTCTCTCACTCAGGTCTCTCTCTCTGGTCTCTCTCTCACTCAGGTCTCTCTCTCTGCTCTCTCTCTCTCTGGTCTCTCTCTCTGGTCTCTCTTTCTGGTTACTGCAGTGTAGTGATGTCACATAAACAGAATAATAGGTGTTTATATCAACCACAGTCAATAACAACATAATTAGTCTATGTAGTATGTCCCTACACGGCCTCTCTCTGCAGTTTATGATGTCTCTCAGCTCAGTCAGGATGTAATGCATAGGTGTCAAAGTCTAGGCCGAGATCAGAATGACTGATCTTGGCCCCCGGATGATATTTGAATACTGTTAGAACCAGCCGCACAGAGACATGAGAAAATATTGTATTTATTAATTGTTTCTATTCATGGACTTAGATTCAAGGCAAACCAGAGATTGCCTCAAACCAACAATTATGGCTTTGTTTAAACCTTTATCTGTCAAAACAGCAGAATTTGCTAAATGATCTCCTGAATCCAGGACATTTTCTATATCACGAATGGTCCTTTCCAGTTCGATCCTGGCCATGAATGCAAATGCAAAAGCCAGATCCGGTCAGACCCTGAATCTCTTTTAAATAAGTTTGTTTTGGAGCCAAATGTTTTCACTTAAGTAATGAGATAAGATTGACTGTATTGATCTCAAATTAAAGACAGAAGTGTGAAACATGTTAAAGGTTAAAAATACAGTCTGTGCAGGATATAATTATGTAGAATAAAAAGAAAGAGTGGAAATGGCAGTGCAGGAATTTTCATTAGTGACTTCTTGTACAGTCTGACAGCTGTGGCCCTGCAGTAGCGCTCCTCCTAATCCTTATTTACTTGAAATGACAGAACCACAAAATATTGGATTCTTCATTTAGTCATCAGATAAAAATCAGTCTAATTACCTGCAATCATTGTAATAAGTGTTGATAAACATTGACCCCGTCCGGCCCTGGGCTTGTGGACCTCAGACGTTCTGGTCGAAGGTCTTGGCTCTTGTCCTTGCACAGAAGCTGCTCATAGAAATTCCTGTTCTGTGTCTCGTCCATTTCATTCATAAAGCCTCGTCAGCGTCTGCTCCGAGTTCGGCCAAACGATTGTGATTAAGACTGCGCTGTGGAAAGCAGTTTGGAGTTGGTTTGTGGATAATAATGCTGTGTTTACTCCAATGAGACAGAATGGTTTAGTGTGAGAACAGTCTGAGGCCTGTGTGAGTGCTTTGTCTGGGACTAAAACAGACTTTTACAGCCGTTATTAGGCAGTTAAACAGAAAATCACATGCATTTTTGGTTTAATTGCTTCAAGATTTGTCCAGTCACCAGTAAATTCCCTTGTTTTATTACTCACGTTCAACAATTCCATCTTACTGCTGTTTGTATGCAAAGATAATTAGTCTATTTACCCATCAGGCACCAGGATCTTTGTTTAGAAATGTAATGTGAAGCAAGCGTTGGAGCCCGGGAAATTTAAAAGCAAAAGAGGACGAGAAAAGAGTAATAATAATAATAATAATGGATCAGATTATACAGCGCTTTTCTGGACACTCTAGCCACAGCTGCCCTGGGGCACATTGACAGAGGCGAGGCAACCAGGCTGTGCCATCGGCCCCTCCCACCACCACCAACCATTCACACACACACCAGACTCATTCTAATGTGGGGGAAGTGTCTTGCCTAAGGACACAACCACAGTTTGGCACTTTACAGCCGCAGCCGCCCCACTGTGGCACCTGCTGTTCCCAGAGGTCTCCCATCACAGCACTGACCAGGCCCAACCCTGCTTAGCTTCAGAGGTCTGATTGAATGCAAATATGCCCAGGACCGTTCGTTGAATGGAAAATGTCTCAGGTTTTAGGTCTAAACGAAGCCGTAATCGTGGAAGTCTCTGGTTTGCTTTGAATCAAAGTCCATGGATATTTTTATGTTTTTATTAGTTTTTGGAAGAATGCATAAAACAGTAGAAAAGATTCAGAGAGAGAGAAGAAAAAGGACAAATCAGTGGTTCTTCAAAACTAAATTCTACCCACATCTGTCAACCCATATTCAGCCTCGTACATAACATATATTTATACATTTACACTTTGGCAACACTTGCGGCTGTTCTTACCGTGTCAACAATTCTGCAGAGTTACTTTAAAAACACATTTGGGGAACGTCGTCATGTTGTCTCCGTTCATTAATCACAGATGTAGGAAAGAGGAATCTGTCGAGACGAGATGGTAAAAAGGCCCTGAACAAATCATTTACTCGACCAACACCAAATCCAACTTCCATCTCGCAGAAGAATATTCGGACAAACGGGAGATTTCACTTTTTCGTCTTGGCACCAGGAAGTTGGATCTTGTCAACTCCAGATGGTTCTATGTTTTTACTTCAGTGAGTGGAGATGAAATAATCTCTCTCACCTCACGGAAAAGAGGAGACGCCAGTTATCGGTGGCACAAGGAGAATTCCAAAGTATTTTAGACTTTGCTGAGTTCTAGACACAGATAATAACCTTATGATATGGAACTTCATTATATGACTTGGATCGTGCGCTCTGATTGGCTGATGAGCGGTCTGATATTTTCCCATCTCGGACCGTTACCATGACGATCGGTCCGCAGTGCGTATCAGATTTGATATCTTTCCTCGGTAAAAAAGACACAATGGGCGACGACTGGGAGCATTCTCAGTGAATTCTATCATCAGGACGAGTTGGAAGAGCCAGAGGAAGTAATAATGTAAGTAATAATGGGGCGGCACGGTGGCTGAGTGGATAGCACTCTCGCCTCTCAGCAAGAAGGTCCTGGGTTCAAATCCCGGCCGGACCAGGGCCTTTCTGAGTGGAGTTTGCATGTTCTCCCCGTGTCTGCGTAGGTTTCCTCCGGGTACTCCGGTTTCCCCTACCACTAAAAATATGTACAATAGTTCTGGCATGTGCCTCCTGTACTGGCCCCGCTCCCATCTCTGTGTGGAGTGAGAGACAAATGCCCAAAAATAACAATTGTAAACCGCTTTGAGACTCAGATCTGCAGTGAAAAGGCGGTATATAAATAAAAACTTACTTACTTACTTACTAACAGCAAATAACCACGAAAACACGACTTCTAACAGTCAAGAAGAGATCGACAACTTTGTTACAGACCAGAAAGGTAAAACCAGGACCAGGAAAACCAAGTGGGACATGAACATCACAGATATGTAAAAAGCATTGGTAAAGACACAGACTGAGAACTTACAGCGCCTCAATCCTCTGTTCTTCATGTCACAGTTTGACACTTTGGTCAAATGTGTTTTTAGTTCAAACCCATCCATATTTGCATAAATTAAGAATAGTCATATAATAAAACATTTATTAACCTCGCCTGCTCGGTCTGTACCTTGGTCTTTTTGCACAGACCGAGCCGTGGTCTGATATTTCTCCGTACAGACCTCGCGCTCGTTTAATTAGCCGTTATTAATGTATGGACTCTTTCTCTCATAATAAACACAATACCAATATAAAACTGCAGCCCTGACATTTCTCCTGCTGTGTCCAAATGTCTGATTTTCTAATGCCTGTGTCTTTGTGCTCAGCTGGTGCAGATGCAGACTCTGTTTGCCTTCGACGAGGAGGAAATGGAGATGAGGAACAAAGTGGTGGAGGACTTAAAGACGGCTCTACGGACACAGCCAATGAGGTGAGGTTTCTGACGACGACAACCAAAGACTAAGACGACTGTTGGATAATTAAAACTGCGGCTCCTGAGTGACCTCCTGTTTTTATGAGGAGTCGTTCTCGGTTTATGAAAATGTGGCCGTTTGGTGACTTCTGTGATTTAATAGCCTTTTAGTGTGCTTCCTTAATGCACTGATATTATGTAAACGTGGATTTGGGATGAGATTTAGAGGCACTGAACCTTTGACTTGTTGTAAAGTTATGAATAATAGAAATAGTGTATTGTGAGGGATTTGCAGTTGCTTCTTAATTACATCAACGTGGATTTAAAGGCTTTAACCTAAACTGTGACTGTGCTCGGGAAAAGGAAGAAAATGACCTTATAAATCTCGCTCTTTAATATTGGCTGGTGCGTTACTGGTTACAAAACATCTTCAGAGGATGTGAAGAGTAGAAGAAGAGATGATATAGTAGTTTTGGGTCGTACTATTGAGACATTGGTCATTGTTTGTATCTCTATCTCTCTGTAACACAGCAGTTAAGAAGCTAACCAGGAGTGGGTTTGGACCATGGATCTGTAACAATATCTGAATAGGGTATTACTAGCTTATAGCAGTCCCACCCCTGGCCACAGGGGGCGCCGTCGTACTGAAGACTAAAATCCCGTTACCCCGAAAAATTTCTCGTAGAATTCAGTGTAAAATATAAGACTTCGGCTGACGGAGAACCCTGACGGAGAACCCTGACGGAGAACCCTGACGGAGAACCCTGACGTAGAACCCTGACGGAGAACCCTGACGTAGAACCCTGACGGAGAACCCTGACGTAGAACCCTGACGTAGAACCCTGACGTAGAACCCTGACGTAGAACCCTGACGTAGAACCCTGACGTAGAACCCTGACGTAGAACCCTGACGTAGAACCCTGACGGAGAACCCTGACGGAGAACCCTGACGGAGAACCCTGACGGAGAACCCTGACGGAGAACCCTGACGGAGAACCCTGACGGAGACCCTTACATGGACCCTGGTCAGAGAACCTGACCCTTGTTAAATCCTTCAGTTTTCTTTAAATCCATGCCACAAACTGCTCGATACTACTACTATGTCTACTACTACTTGTCTCCCGCTCTAACTTCCCTCTGATCAGCTGCCCTCTGATTGGTCAAAACGCTGCCCTCTGACTGGTCAGAACGCTGCCCTCTGATTGGTCAGAACGCTGCCCTCTGATTGGTCAGAACGCTGCCCTCTGACTGGTCAGAACGCTGCCCTCTGACTGGTCAGAAAGCTGCCCTCTGATTGGTCAGAACGCTGTTCTCTGATTGGTCGAACATGCCGCCATCTTGGATCAGCGGGGCTCGTTTAGGAGTGAGTTTGAGAAATCTCTGAATCAAACTTAAAGGTGCATTCTTTAACTTTCCTGGTAGATGCTTTTTGCTGTCATCGCTTGGGACATTTGTATTTTTTGCTGTGTTTGTTCCACAATGGTATTATATGATTTCATTTCATGAGGCTAAATTACATATTTGTAAAGTTTATTTGATAATTCAGAACATTCCTTGCAACTCTCGCCATTTTAAAGCCCATTAGAAGCACTTTAATGTTCTATAATGAGTGTATAAACTAGCAATAGCAGCTTGTTCAGTCTCACATATGTTTAAATGTTTATTTATGTTGTAAATATCATCCTATTCTTACACTACTGCACTGGTTTGACGCTAAACTGCCTTTGTTGCATTGTTCTTACTTTGTAATGACTATAAACTTTTATCTAGTATAATGTCTCCAACAAACCCTGTCAGGAACAATATGCAAACATAAAATGATGATAATAGTGTATATTGTTGTTTTGTTTCCGTTTCACTCAGTCTGAGTTTAAGCTACAACGACACTGAAGGTTTTTACTGTTTTTTTCTCCTCTTTGGTATTTGGCAATGAAGGCAAATATTACAGCTTCCAATTCCAACACACAATAAATGACATTTTACGGCTGCAATCCTGACACCAGCAGAAGCACGTCCTAACGACTGGAGAGATTAATCTTAATCTAACTTCACCTCAGATTGGGACATTTTCTTTGGCAGTGGTCAGTTTATCCGCTGCTAAAGGTGGGCTTAGTCACAAAGCTGAAACGCAACTTCTGACTTGGGCTAGAGTCGAACTGGAACTTCACGTGTTGCCAGATTTGCCGTGGTAGTAGTTATTTCTGTGTTAATTTCTCACACAATCTGCTAATCTGCTAATCTCTGAGGATGACTCCATGTCGCTGCTTCTGTTTTGGTTTGAGCATTCCTTTGACGCAGACGTGATGTTCTTCTTGCTGCAGTCATTTCCTCTGTCCAATAACTGCAGGATGACAGGAAATGAAGGTTTTAAAGGGTCAGGGAGGCTCTGCTCTTACCCAGAATGCACTGCTGTGTGTCTCAGAGGTGATCCTGTTACACACACTGGCTTTAAGCTGCCACTGGATGTAAATGTTTATTGGAACAGCTGTATTTTTAATCTTTGAGTAGGAATAGCTTCTGTCTGTTTTTAATAATCTGAGTCTGAATGAAAAGATGGAATGACATGTGACCCTCGCTGAAAACATTTTAACTAAACTGCGCCACCTTAAGGCTTTTCCCGCAGCGTATTTCAAGGCCGTGTCGAACCAGGACAGTGGGAAAGGATGCAGAGCTTTTCAAACCCGTGTGAGAACGATCTTTACCGCAGGGAAAAGGAGAATGTGTCCTGACTTTCAAATCTGTTTTCTGTGAGAAGTAGTTTGAAGTCACAGCGCTGTGCAGCCCGGACACTTTGGAATCACAATAAAACCGGGAAGTCAAAGTCAAATACATCAGAGACCAAATAAACAAGTTTGCTGTTATATAAAGTCACCTCTGTGAACACATACTGCTGTTATATAAAGTCACCTCTGTGAACACATACTGCTGTTATATAAAGTCACCTCTGTGAACACATACTGCTGTTATATAAAGTCACCTCCGTGAACACATACTGCTGTTATATAAAGTCACCTCCGTGAACACATACTGCTGTTATATAAAGTCACCTCTGTGAACACATACTGCTGTTATATAAAGTCACCTCCGTGAACACATACTGCTGTTATATAAAGTCAAATCTCAGAACGACAACACTATCGCAATAATTTCTGAAACAATTATTCGTCCAGCAAAATGTGTAATCGTGACAGGCCTACGGACTGGTTCAATGTTTATTTAAATATATGAAAATGATGCATACAAACTGTTGAACCAAGACCTAACAGTGGACCGTATTGTTTAAATAATATTTTTGTGGCTCTGTCTGTACATTTTTCAACAGACTGAAAACAAACTTCCTTTAAAGAAAAAAACACGTGAACATTAAATGAGTAATCCAATATTTTCTTATGTCTCTGTGCGTCCGGTTCTAATACTCGTCAAACGTCATTCCGGGGCCGAGGTCATTCATTTGCCGGCCAGATCTGGCTCCCGGGCCTCGACTTTGACACCCAGGCGATTTAGGAAACTACGGTTTGTGGTTCACTTGGCGACACGGTGGCTCAGTGATTAGCACCTGGGTTCGAATCCCGGTCTGAACAGGGTCTTTTCAAGTGGAATATAATGAGTGACTAAAAGGAGGGTGTTTGGTCGGAGGCTTTGATGGTCCAGTGTGTTCGGAGTCTAACTTCTGTCATCATCGTGTGGAAAAGAGAATGGGAAAAAAAATCTTCTGTGATTGGTCCAGTCTGGTCTCTTCTGTGATTGGTCCGGTCTGGTCTCTTCTGTGATTGGTCCGGTCTTGTCTCTTCCGTGATTGGTCCAGTCTTGTCTCTTCCGTGATTGCTCCAGTCTGGTCTCTATTGTGATTGCTCCAGTCTGGTCTCTATTGTGATTGCTCCAGTCTGGTTTCTTCTGTGATTGGTCCAGTCTGGTTTCTTCTGTGGTTGGTCCAGTCTGGTTTCTTCTGTGATTGTCCAGTCTCGTCTCTTCTGTGATTGGTCCAGTCTTGTCTCTTCTGTGATTGGTCCATTCTGGTCTCTTCTGTGATTGCTCCAGTCTGGTTTCTTCTATGATTGCTCCAGTCTGGTCTCTTCCGTGATTGGTCCAGTCTTTGTCTCTTCTGTGATTGGTCCGGTCTGGTTTCTTCTGTGATTGGTCCAGTCTTGTCTCTTCTGTGATTGCTCCAGTCTGGTCTCTTCTGTGATTGGTCCGGTCTGTTTTCTTCTGTGATTGGTCCAGTCTTGTCTCTTCTGTGATTGGTCCAGTCTGGTCTCTTCTGTGATTGGTCCAGTCTGGTTTCTTCTATGATTGCTCCAGTCTGGTCTCTTCTGTGATTGGTCCAGTCTGGTCTCTTCTGTGATTGGTCCAGTCTGGTCTCTTCTGCGATTGCTCCAGTCTGGTCTCTTCTGTGATTGGTCCGGTCTGGTTTCTTCTGTGATTGGTCCAGTCTGGTCTCTTCTGTGATTGGTCCAGTCTGGTCTCTTCTGTGATTGGTCCAGTCTGGTCTCTTCTGTGATTGGTCCAGTCTGGTTTCTTCTGTGATTGGTCCAGTCTTGGCTCTTCTGTGATTGGTCCAGTCTGGTTTCTTCTGTGATTGGTCCAGTCTGGTTTCTTCTGTGGTTGGTCCAGTCTGGTTTCTTCTGTGGTTGGTCCAGTCTGGTTTCTTCTGTGATTGGTCCAGTCTTGTCTCTTCTGTGATTGGTCCAGTCTGGTCTCTTCTGTGATTGGTCCAGTCTGGTTTCTTCTATGATTGCTCCAGTCTGGTCTCTTCCGTGATTGCTCCAGTCTGGTCTCTTCGGTGATTGGTCCAGTCTTGAAAATCTAAAGTCGTCTCAAATTCCAGATGTAAAGTATCTATTATTGCATGTACCATTTTTCCGATATTTTGTGCAGCCTTAATCCATTTCGTCACTTCCATTTCTTTAAGTTTTACTCTTACAGTTTGACTCAGAGATGGAATAACCTTCTGTATTTTCTGAAAGGAGTTGGATGTCTTTCTTGAACATGTTGCGACCCCGTGTCTGCTAAATGCTTTG